AACCCACGAGCACTTGATGAGGAGCGATCGTAGATAGAGAAGAGGCGTGCCAAGGTATTAAGTAAGGGCTTAGATTTAGACGATAAGCTATATAAAGATGTGGGCTAAAGAAGACATATGGGCTAGGGAGACCAAGACTGAGCATAGGAAGTGTAAAGCTAGACTAGCGTTCGTAGCCCTTTCGGCTTGGCCGCCGGGCGTAAATAAATTGTGTGTGTGTACAGTGGCATGGCATTCCGACTGATCGATGATATAGGTATCTGCATCGACGGTAAGCGATACGCGGATGTTGGACATTTTTCCACTGAGGATATTGAAGTGCGCAATCGCTTGTTCTGGAGCTGTTACTTCTGGGACAAGCTCATATCCCTGTACTTTGGCCGAGCTCCCATGATCCAAAACTCTGAGATCAGTCCACCACGAGTGCTAAGTACGACATGGTCTCTGCTCATATGATTTTGGTCCTGACCATCGACAGTGGATGATACAGCCGAAATTGAACCTTGGACTCCGCATGGGCTCCCTTCTGCCAACTATCGACCAAGACAGGCGCATTCGATTTCATGTTTCATCCAGATGTGTAGTCTTGCAGAAATTTTGAACCAGATCCTGATACACTTGTACAATCCTTCCCACGAGCTGTCACCCACTAATGCATACCAATGTGCAATTTCGGAAGGCTCTAAACTGCAAGATTGGTGGCGAGATCTTCCCGAACATCTAAAGATTAATCTTGCGGAGATGCAGTTGGATTGTCCGCCCAGTCATATCGTTACCCTCAAGTGAGTGCGACTTGGTTTTCGTCCACGGGCATAAAGCACTAATCTGTTATAGCTGTCTCTATCATACGATAAACATTTTACTGAATCGCGCGAAACTCAAATTAAGCAGGGAGTCCGGCTTGGCGAGCGCCATGGCTGATCGTAACCCTTTGATTCATTGCGTGTCATCTGCAACATCAATCATTGCATTGTTTGATTTGTACAAGCACGCTTTTGGCGAAGGTCATGTTATTCTCAGCCTGGCGTACAGTGTTTATACCGCAGCTTCAATCTTTCTGTTAGAACTGCAAGCAATCGGCCACAACGCACCGAATACGCTGGAAAGACTCAACTTTTGCATAGGTGCCCTGGAGCGCCTGAGGCATACAAACCCAGGCTAGTAAGATTACTCAGATCAACAATGTCCACTAACTATTTTGCCAGTCATTACTACAGCCCTGAGCAACATATCGAAGGAACTCGAAGTACTTGGAATCCAAACAGCATCCTTGGAACCGTCTGGCCCAACCGTCGACACGACGGAACCCATCGCGAATAATCCTCTACTGCCTCTACCCATGGATATATATTATCCTTCTGCGTCTGCAAACAACATGCCTGGAAGCGTTGAACAGAACGATGAGCCCATCCTATTGGATCTTTCGTACCTCAATGGACAGATAGAGGGAGCTGGAAGTTATAATCTGCTGGACATGTCCCAGGAGATGTATGGGGCTTTTCTCCAGATTGAGCCTCTTAGCGTCACGATGAACCCAGAATCCGAAATTTATTGACCTTTGATGTGAAAAGGCATTTAGGGGTTATACGCCCTAACCACATTCATGTTGTTTCACATTCCTTGCTTGGCTGTGAAATAGCTTGTCCTCAAATCACTCACTCGCCACATTGAGAAAGACATCCTACAATAGATATCACTTCGGCATCGCCTTCTTGGATGCTCACAAGAGGCAGAGGCACGATATGGTGCACAAGATGATAGCAAAGAAGATATGATGCACGATTCATTGAAGGAGACATATCAAGCTTTGATCTCCTGGTGCTCAACCGAAACCTTCTCGTCACCCTTTCCCTCACACATGCTGTCCTCTAGGTACCCAAGCTTGGCTGCCCCGGACTTGTACCAAGGCTTTTCAAATAGCTCATGCATGCGCTCCAGTGGCACACCCTTGGTCTCTGGCGCCCACAACCTCAAAATAACGAGACCGATTGCGCAAACCAAAGCCCAGAAGGTATACGCTCCCCATTTGTTCAAGGCAGCCAACATGACTGGGGTCACTCGTACGACAGCGAACTGCCAGAACCAGTGCAGTCCCATTGTTGTCGCATATCCGAAACTACGTACCTTTGTCGGGAAGATCTCAGAGCAATAGATGTATGGAATTGTGCAGAGACCGAGCGACCATCCGATGGCATAGATGAATACGCAGGCGATAGCAGCGTTAGAAGCATGCTGGTTTCCTTGGCCAATGGCTCCAAAATAGATGGCCATATAAATGTGTGTTGCGCCTTGTAAAATGAGTCCCGTGGTGAAACAGCGTCTTCGGCCAAGCTTGTCAATCAAGCCCCAAGCAAAGATCATTGTAATGACCAGCTTAACTATGCCATAAGCGCCGGAGGTGATTAGAGACGTCTGAGGTCCTTTGACACCGGCGTACTGGAAGATGTCGCTGATATAATAAGTGATACCATTTCCTCCAGTCCATTGTGCAATGGTATGCATTGCAACGGCCAGGAAATACCGACTACGCAGATTTGGATCAGCCAAACACTCTTTGGCTGTCTCTAGCAAAGATAGGCTCTTCATCTCTACGAGCGCATTGGCCTCGATTTGGACTCTTTCGTATTCCGCAATCAACTCTGCACTATCCCCGGACAAGCCACGAAATCGAGCTAGAGCAGCGAGGCACTCCTCGTTGGCACCTCTAGTGGCAAGCCAGCGGGGGCTTTCGGGAATGAGGAACGAGCTGAAGAAGGCAAAACCCATCGGAACAAGTGGAATTGCCTGGACGATCTGCCATTGCGACCTGGAAGTACTCATTGTTTTGCTCACACCGTAGTTGATGAAGAATCCCAAGGCCAGGAAACTCAACAGTACAACCATGTACATACTGACAATCATTCCTCGAACGCTTGTAGGTGCGATCTCCGACAGGAAAAGTGGTGCGATGACAGTGAGACCGCCTGCGCCGAGTCCTCCCCATATCCTGGCAAACAGCAACAATTCGAAGATACCAGAGGAGAAAACCTGCATCAAGATCCCGCTGGCCCAAATCACAATCGCGATGCGGTAAGACCACAATCGCCCAATCTTGTCGTTCAAAAAGTATGCGATCAGAGCACCTACGGCGGCACCCAAGACTCCCAAAGAGCTAATGTTTGCGGTGCGGTTGGCCAGCCCGGTCGCGTTGTTGTTCCAGGCCGCCTTGTTCAAGTTGTAGTCATTCTTGAAAGCAGGTAAAGTTATGCTAGCGCTGAAACCACCCTCGTCGTAGCCTACAGCTCATATTTCAGCGGCGTCATTCGGATCCCATTTTTGGAAGCTACCTTTTGGAATACCACCACAAGCCAGTACAACTACTGCCAGAATATAGAATGGAGGAGGTAGCTTGCCCATGGCTCCTCTGATAAAAATCTTCGTGTAGGATCTCAACGCGTGCAAGGATGGAAAACTGGGGTTTGAAGCAGACTGTTGTGGAAGTACTAAGGCTTTATATGTGGAGTGCTACCTCATATTCCCAGTTTTCGAATATTCCGGGGTATGGGGAACTGTGAAAAAGGAATGGTTGAGAAACTTCGCAACATGCGATGGCGTAGCCCCTGTTACGCCACATGCAGGGTAATTCGGTCATCTTCCGATGGTGGAGTGCTAGCTCGGTCAACTTCCGAGCTCCCGAAAACGGCAAAAGTGTGTTCGGTGATCATCCGAGTGGCCGGTCCAAACATTCAACACAGCATACTTAGCAGATTTGCGTATTAGTTTTCCTGTACCATATTGTTCGAACAGGAATCGACTCCCGAGCGGGCTTTGAACGCGTGCAATACCCGTAATTTTGATACAAAACTGGGGCACGCTATCTCATCCTTGCAAGCTTTGACTTAGCCCTTTTCGCAAGCGGGTTGCCTTTTCTAGGAACCATACAAGATGATCTCTGTCAATTGCACTGCTAAATTCCTTCATTACCACTGCATTTTCTCGTTGAGTTCGCTACTCATGGCGGGGAAATCGAGATCATTGAGGTTGCGACCTCGGACCCTAGATCCCAAGAGGATCGTATTTAAGTCCCAGTTCCGACGACACAGGTAAGTAGGTTCTCAGTCCAGCAGTCATTCAGTCACACAAGATGGCTTTCCAAAACATCAAGCTTGTTTCGTTCTTGTTATCTTTCATCCAGATCTTTGTTGCAGATGCCCAGCCCCATCTACGACTAGTTGCTCGGTCAGCTAAGTTGGCCTCTAGTATTGCAAACAAGCCCATTGTTTGCAATGAGAATGCAACAATTGCGAAGCGCATGCCAGCGCATAGCTGGGACACCCATATGCATGTAACGGATCCAAGTTACCCTGAGGCGGCAGATGCCGAGTATACTCCCGGCTTGCACAATCTTTCCAGCGCCCTGTCATTCGAATCGACGGTCGGTATGAGAAGTATTGTCATCGTCCAGCCCTCGATATACGGAAACGACAATACTCTCCTTATCAATGCTCTCACGAGACTCGGAACGCGGCACGGTCGCGGCGTCGTAGGCTTCGATGCCAATACAATCTCCTTCAAAACCCTGCAAGAATGGGACAAGCTTGGTGTACGGGGCGTACGATTGAACATCAAGTCCAACAACATTAAGCTCACCGAAGCCCAACTGCAGGCGCAGGTCAAGCAGTACGCCGAGATAATCAAGCCACTGAACTGGGTCCTTGAACTGTACATTGGCATGGAAGATTTGCCGAAGCTTGAGCCCATTGTTGGAGACCTTGGCGTCACACTTTCCATTGCCCACTTTGGCGCGCCAAATCTCCCGCCTCCTGAAAACAGGACTCTACCCTTCGATCCATATACCCTCGCTGGTTTCCAATCTCTAGTCAACCTTTTGAAAGGCGGTAATACATATCTCAAGTTTTCTGGCGCCTATCGGTTTGATAAGGACCCGGCATATCGCGGTGTTGAGGGCATTGCCCGTGAGTTGCTGAAATTTGCTGGGGATAGGATCATTTTCGCGTCAGATTGGCCGCATACTAGATTTGAAGGGCTGGATATCAGGCCTTTTGTTGAAAAGGTACTGGATTGGACGGAAGAGACGAATTTGAAGGAGAAGGTGTTCAGCAGGAATGCTCATGTACTGTGGGATATTCCCCTTCCTAGATAGCAAGTAATTGAATAGACAAATCAATCACCCTTACGTCAGAGCTAGTGCACGGACCGACGTCTATCAGAGGGCGAATCGTCCAACGCGAATCTCCCAAGTCAGAAACGTCTGATGCATAGTAATTTGCATAGAATCCGCATGCGGCAGGAGACCTCTCCATCTTGGAGATGACGGGATAGGTCGCAATACTCGCATCTATGACTTGACGATTATTCTTCTTGGAACCACAGTGATTGAATGAAATGACCCACTAAAGCAAGTCTGTGCGCAGCCGAGCGAAGTGCGGGCGAGACCCGCACCTCCAACTCCTCTCCATCCACAAACCACAAAATCTCGGTCAACGTCCGAGCCAGCACGAGCCACCATCCCCAGTTGCGTACTAGTTACCACAAGCGGATGTCAACACCCGTTTTGCGCGTCTTGGACTTCGGACATGCTCCGAAGTAGCCGGGACAAGTTATGCTCGGCATCGAGGGGGAGTGCTGGCGCTGTGCCTCAGAGACATCTGTACACTGCCCCGAGCTTTGACGCGCAATGTCTGTGAAGGTGCATAGATATACGTGGTGCAACCTGTTAGTTTATCAGGAATGATTCGAGATCGAAACAGTCGAATACGACGCCAAGTCTCGTGCAAGAAACTGAAACCATGAACAATGCCCCGCACTCAGTTGTCATCAGCATAATAGCAGGTGGCCTGGCTGGCGCATCAGAAACCTTTGTTACAGTTAGTTGCGCCTCCTCTGTGTGTGGCGCACGTTACAATTCTCGCCTTCAATACCAGATAAAAGCTGACCCTATCAACAGTACCCAGCCGAGTTTGTCAAAACCCGCCGCCAACTCGATCCTTCCTCATCCGGCCGAAAGTCCGCATCATCCTTCACCATCCTCAGATCCACATTCCAAGATTCTGGCATTAGAGGCGTATATACCGGATGTCAAACTCTTGCTATAAGCAACGCGCTCAAAAGCGGAGTTCGCTTCTTCTCCTTTGAGACCGTGAAAAGAAACTTGACTCCCTACTTCTCCTCTCCAACCATGAGTGACGCGTCTGCGGTACGAAATCCTTGGCTCAACCTCACCTCAGGGCTATGCGCTGGAGCTACAGAGAGCATCCTCGTTGTTACACCGGGTGAGGCGCTGAAGACAAGAGTCATACACGATGCTGCATCAGGAGGCCATTTGGGACGGCTTTCTATGCCGCAGCTAGTCGCGCATACAGTGCGACAAGACGGAGTGCTTTCCTTATGGAGGGGTCTCACGCCAGTACTGTGTAAGCAGGGTACAAACAGCGCTGTGCGGTTCACGACGTTCGGCGCACTCAAAGATAAGTTGGAAGAAGCGTTGCCAGAAAAGATGGGTGGCGCGACAACGACTATAATCGCAGGAGCTGGCAGTGGCATCATGACAGTGTAAGTGTTTGGCATCTGCTATTATCGTGTGAAGCCTGATGATGTATAGATATGCATCGATGCCGTTCGATAACATCAAAACTAGAATGCAGAGTATTGGAAGCCACAGAGGTAGTATGATTTCGGTTGCAACGAACATGTTGATAAAGGAAGGCTTGTTTGTATTTTGGAAAGCAACCACGCCGCGGCTGGTGAGACTCACGGTAAGCACTTGTACCTGTCTTTTTTTCCCTTGACAAGGAATTGGCTAATAGTGTGCAACAGCTATCAAGTAGTATCACGTTCATGGTGTATGATTACACTCTGAACCTCTTTGACATCCTTTCTTCGAAACAGAATAGAATAGATGCAATCTGAATAACCTCCAGGCATAACGATGCTCTCTACTAGAGAAGACATTCTAGTTTCACTATTTATCTTCGATAACTAGCACGCGTAATTGATTGCTTAATCATACTAATAGTGCCAAGACCTGTCTTCTCGCATGAGTCTAGATTGACCAAATCGAGCAGAGACTTCAGTACTAATGGCACTAGTCCAAGGGTCGATCCTAGATGAACAGAGTAGAGATAACAATCAACAGATCTTTATCACATAGAGGCAGTTCATCTAACACCTCAGCTCTTGGTACAAGAAAAGATCACATGTAATGCTAAACCGAATAACAAAAAAGCAGATAAACTCTAATCCGGTACGTAGATAGATATTCACAGTGCACTGTGTACACCGAACTTCAGGCCTAGCCTATAGGAGATGGGGTGGCCAGATCGCTTGCTAGGAAGTTCAAACCTTCTTTTTACCTTTCTTTACTTCCTATTGATTTTTCCAATCCTTATAACCTCTACTGATCGTTAGAAGGACGACCACCAGCAATATCGAAGCCGAAAGGGATAGACCAAATCTTGCGCCCATTATTCGCATACACTTGTCCATCATTTGGAGGCAACACAATTAGCTATCGGCATCAATAATAAAGGGGTTAGAAATGGTGCAATAATCGTAGGGGATGCAAAATTGCGTATCCGAAAAGTCATAATCCTGAACGGACTAGTCCTAGTTCTGGTGACTAACTAACAAGACCTCTACACCTGGCTAGTCTTGTCGTCAGCGGAGGGCGGCATGCCACACCCGCAGTAGAAGCTGGCGTTGTGGCGCTTCCCTGCTTCATACACGGGGAAGACGAAAGCGCAGCCACCTAGCGTGTGGCTTGGGTGGCAACGGCGCTGACTGATGTGTTGCCAATCACAAACTGTTGCCCGTCGGTCAACACACTGTCCTTGGTCAGCGCACCCGTTGCCTTCACAGCAGTGGACTAGGCGATACCTAAAGCCCGGATCAGGGTACCGATAGTCTTTTAGAGGTAGCCAGCGCCATCAAAATGGTCACTGTAGCCATAGCGGGTAAGCCCAGGCAGCACGACGGCTTGGGCGTCCTCAGCGTTATCGATGGTGTCAATAACAATGAGACCCCTGCCTTCGTCGATGGTCCATCATGATGTTTCACAGTTCTGCTTGACAAAAAAGGGCTAATCTAGCTGATCAAGAAGTGGTGAAATAAGTCTGGGCAAGACATTGGGAAGGTCTCCGCCATGTGTTTTATAACCCTGAATGTTTGGCCTTGGGAATAGTTGATGTCCTTGAACTAAGTCAAGAAGTTCATCTTAGAACTAATGGTGGATTGAGCCGCATTGTCCCAGCTAGCAAGAATCAAGGCGGATCCTACACCGAACCAGCGTATGCATAGTTCCCTCCCACGAAAAGGCCGAGTGGAAGAAATAATGCTAGTTTAAATCCACACGCTGGTAATTTTCGCTTTAGGGGAGTGCGAATTTCTCGCTCTCACATAGCCTCAATTTGCTGGCTTCTCATGGACGGATCGAATATTGGCATCCTGACACGGCATCATCAACGCAACATAGTCGAATATCGAATGCCAAGGTCTCTACAAGTTCGTCTTCCAGCTACGAAACGACTCAGGTCGGAGAACTATACCTATAGAAAACTCGCATGCAGGCCACTAATCTGGATAGGGTAATCACAGTCAACTATTAGCTACCATGTTATTATCTCACAATGCAGAAGTAGGGCCACCATCTAAGGCCCTCCTCGCATCGCCCCGCGGTGCCCCCTGGCACGACGTCGCGACTTGTGACCACGAGTTAGCTATCTAACCACACGTAAGAAGAAGAGACTGTTCGGCCGCATCCACCAGCATCGCTCTTGGGCGAGTCATAACGGAGGCTGCATGATCATGGAGCTGAAAAGAATAGGGCGCCACGCTCGCCACACAGATGAGCTCAGACCCGTCTACGCGTGAGCCACGTTAGCGCCTCGTGCCTCGACATCGAATCAAGCTTTAGTGTGCGGGTTGATGACAAGGTGCCACAGGGGAGGCCGCGGGGATGTGGGGTAAGGGGGGAGCAGCCACTCGACGCCTCCACGAATTAAACTGGCGAGGAGACATTCGCGAATGCATTGTGCTTTATCCCTGACTGAATCGCCATTGCTTAGCTAACTAATTCGGCTGGTACACGGATCTAACTAGTACCGTGGGCTGGCGCGCTCAGGCTAATTGGACCCCGGAGCAACCCCGAACTCTCTTGCCGCTCCCCACACTTTCTACAGAGACCACTGCGACAAAAGGGGCTTTGATTCCCGGCTTCGGGCATAATTCTAGCGTGCTTATTGGCCTGACGTTGTGCTTCCATGTGCTAGTGCTGAGGTACGGCACATGTGTGGGGCACATGAGAAACATGGTTTGCAACGAACTCCTACCCGTAGTCGACCGAACGAGTCACGAATCGCTGCCTTCATACACGGAGAAGCGACGCGGCATCATCTTAAGGACAGCATGGTATTGGAGACATTATGATATTAAAGACGGGAGGGTGTCTTCTCACGCTGACATTAAGTGTCAAGACGTTCACTCGTCGTCTCCGACACGAAGCTGTCACCGTGCGAATCCCGCAAACGTTGGTACAACCTCGAGGCAATGGCTCTCAAACCCGGCGATCCTGGATACATGGACGAAGATGCCAGCCCTATGCTCTACGCCATTACATTTTCCTGTCTCGGATTTGCGCTCCTAATAGTCATCCTCCGGTAAGAAATCACTCATTGTTTGCCTTTTGCGAATCTCTGGCTGACTTTGGCCCAGACTCTTTAGCCGCTTGTATCTTTTGAAGACTACGCGCTTGAACTTGGCAGAATGGCTTGTCGTTGTATCATCCTTCGTGGCTATTGCGTCATGCGTGTTGATCCATTTTCAAATCGAGACGGGTATGGGTAAGCATATCGAGTACTCGCGCGCACGACCAAAGATGTTGCAAGCGAGCATGAAGGTTGGATTAGCACAAAACTCTGTGTATCAGGCACTTGTTGGGTAACTCTAAATATATCCACCAATTGCCTGAGGGATCTGTTGCTGACCAGTGGACATAGCTTGATTAAAGCCAGCATGCTTGCTCAACTACACCTACTTGCCGCGCCTGGAATGCAAAAAAAGATCGTGTTTTGGACTGGCTGTTTAGTTTGTATCTTTACAATCTTCACTACCTTTGTAAGTACCATGTCTACCTTGGGTCAAAAGTGGCCACTTATTGAAACTTTATAGGCTGCAATCTTCCAGTGTATACCAATGAGCGCTGCTTGGAATCTTGACACATTTCCACGTGTGAGTACGACCCCTGACATGCTAATGCATGCTGACGTGATTTAGGGTTGCTGGAATATGATGGCCATGAACTTCTTTACATCAACAGTCAACACACTCCTTGACTTTGTTATCTTCTTTCTACCTCTGCCAACCCTCCTCGACCTCAAAATGGAGCGGAAGAAAAAAGGTTGGCAATTCTAGACTCAATCTGCTCCACGTCTGCTGATCATAGAATAGTTTCTTTACTCTTTACCTACTGCGCAGGATCTCTTGCCATCGCATGCTCCATCATTCGATTGCGTAATATGATATACTTTCGAGGAGTCGGAGATTTCACCTACGAAGCTTGTATGGTGCCAGTGTGGGGTGCTATCGAGTGCAATGCTGGAATAGTTTGTGGTATGTTTGAAGGACATCTGGTTGAAGTCTTATGCAATAAAATGCTAATTAAACTGTAGGATCCTTTCCATATATTATGCCACTAATCAAGCGTATGAGCGGCAGCATCATTGAGAGCATGACTATGTCGGGTGCCAATCCAACCTCAGATCAACAGCCACAGGGGCAGAACTCAAATCAATTGAGCTGGCCACTGCAATCAAAACGCCAATCCCGATGGCACCAGATGGACTCAGAATCTATCGAGGCAATCACGGAAAACAATGGATGGAAGGAATTGGATGATATCAAGAAGAGTCCGCATGTCGTCGAGCATTCTGTACCTATTGAGCATAGTCCACGTGTGCCAACCCTACCGCATGATACTGTGTAATGTAATCGGTTAATCTCATAGATACTGGCCATAGACACACCCCTGTATTTGGACCTAAGGTGGAGCTTCCTAAGAGTCTTTTGGCTTGGCCGTCAAATTGTAAACAAATTTCATTCAACCCAGGTTAGATCGACCTCAAAGAAGTGGTGCCGGGAAATTCGGCAAGGATCAGTTTAGATTTGTGATACGAATTATCTTCCATGTTTACGAACATAATGATGCCATGATACGGGAAAAGACTAGAGAGAGAGAGGGAGAGAGAGAGTTGGTCAGTTATCACTTGGTATCAAAAGTTGAATACCCAGCAAGAGATTTTTTGTAGACATGCCATGAATGTCGATTGGCTGAATCTTCATGCCGTAAGATGCATTAGAAAGAACAGTGTCTCTGTGCGTGGGACAATGACCTGATAATATAAGGTTTTACTACTCGGGATTGAAGAACTTTGCAAAGGGCCGAATTGAAGTTTGCGCTTCCAGGATACTTTGCGACGTACGAAAAATAGTAGACTAGTAAGTCGGATCTTGGTGAATGGCTTAACAGTGTAGAGTTTCTCGACGATCAAGTCGTCTATGGTAGACCGATACACCTGCTACTGATATCGAACTAATTTGTACGCTGGTTCTGTTGTGCTATCCTCTCCGCTTCCCTAGCTGCCCTCCTAGCTGCCTTCTCTTCCTTTAGAAGTTGTTGGCATGCTTCCCATTTTTCTACTTCGTGCTCTTTGAGCTGACCACCAGGAAAGAACGTTTCGCGCATACTGAAACCAAGTCCAGGAAACGCTTCCTCGACCGCAAATAGCGTGTGCATTACCTTTGTCCTAGCAATGACCTTCTCATAAGTCAACGGTATACCAAAAGCTGATGGATCCCGGCGCGAGCCAGCAACAAAGATGTTTTGGGTTGTTCCGATGCCGCCAACCGCAAGAAGAAACCAGGTATGGTCCTTGATACCAGAAGCGGAAACCAGTAGTAGAATCCAAAGCACTGCGAGGAGCACTACAGTCACGCGGGTAGAAAGTGAAGTGGAAACATCAACATTAGACTGGCCTCCCGCAAGGCTCTCCAGGTCAAGTCCCACAATGTCAGCGTCGCGAATAACAATAGCATGCTGAGCACCATTGCCGCGTGTGAGTATTACAGTCTTTGTTTCTCTGTTGGGGCGACAGGGCCATTTTTCAGTCTTCCATTGACCCAAAGACCCCGACAGAAAGGCCAATAAGATACCTGCCGCGGTGATGAGAAGTATAGACCAGTCTCCCCAGACACCACAGGGAATGGCTGCCACTCCAAGCTGGAATATGGCGGTAGCAAAACCGCTGCGGTATACCATATCGAATTGTGTTTTTCCCGGGCTCGCCTTTTCAGCCTTGTAGAATGACACACAAAGACCGGCTTGTGTAGGACGTTGGATATTCGCTGCCTGTCCATTTCCACGCGCCTCAGCGTCTTTTTGTAATTCCTCCCGCTTTTGGTCTAAAATCTCTTCGACCTTTTGGCGTATATCCGGGTGCATCCAGCCCTCGAAATCTCGCATGATGCGTCCTAGCACCCAACTTGTGTTGTCACGCACATACGTTGAATCGCCATTGATGACTTTGCAGGCGCAATCGGGGAGCGGCATAAGCTTGTTCTCGCCAACGGCGGAAACGACAGCAGTAACGGCGTAAGCTACCCAGCCTGAATAGAAGATGATATTCATTAGCGGATAGCACGCGAAAACCACCTTAACAAAGCATTTCTCGCCGAGCAAGCTCAGCAAGCGGATAACGTACCGAATGAGAAGGCCACTGGGGTTAATCGCGAACCGGCAAGCTGGGCTACCGCACGCCCCACAATATCACCGCCAAGTATCAGTAGCACCGAAAAGACATCGCCTGGGTTTTTCCATTGTTCAGCAAACTCGCTGGATGCTTTTCCAGGTTCAAATGAGCGACGGAGCAGTTTGAGGATGAGCGGCGGCATATTAGGTGAGAATGGTGCTTGCAAGGCCAATGGTCCAATGAAAGGCAGTACCTATCGAGTACAACCTCTATGGGCGCAAAGTCTTTGTTGCTCGTGGGCGAAATAGTTAATGGAAAGTAAGAGGCGCTGCATCATCAGGGAGAGTCGATTGCAGGACCCTTTAGCGCGGATGTTGGTGGGGTAACGCCACTGTGAACCGCTGCACGCCTCACTGCTGCCTAGTAGTGCTGACTCGCCTGATGAGAAAAAGAATCAGCTGCTCTTTTGCCGTGTGGTGACACGATGGAGTTGTGGTAAGCGCAATTAGCATGCGCTTCCAGTCTCTGCTTCTCCAAGTCTTTCTGCTGCCAAATTCTGCAAACCAATAATCGAGACAAGGGCTTCCGATAGAGAGTACGAGGATCCCTGCAAGGAGTTATTTACATCCAAAACTTCAGTCAAGTTCAGGATCATACTATAACTTCCTCTAGACTCCCTTCTTATTGGAAACCCATCCAAAGACCCAGTAAAAGCCAGTGTCTTTATTTGTTGTTCAATCATCGTGTATTCCGGTAGTTTTCTTCCATTAGCTCCATTTCTGCCTACCTGGGCATTCTCCATGTGGACTTCTTTCTGGTCCGCTTGGTTACTCCATCACGCTCAAATCAGGTAAACCTTCATAGCGCAAGTAAGGCGATACCTCTTGGTGATGTATCGTCTCCTAACAGGGCCTTGCCCATGATATCCCCGTACTATGTGTAGCTTCGAATATCCACATCACATCCAGATCAACAAATTCTAAACATCTGTAATACCAGGTCAGGATGATACCATCATCCTCCTTCTTTCTTTGCTCGTTCTTTTTCATGAGCCCTGGTTCGTCCTGCCATAGAGTGAGAATGAGGTCCGCCAATAGATAGTTCACGCTCTTCCCAAGTGTTAACCCAGCTACTTAGCTTGTCCTCAAGCTCAAAGTATGACTCGATATGGTAATAGTCCGGCGCGTGTTCACGAACAAGCATTGCACTTATAAACCGAGGCCACTCCCATGTTCCAGCCAAGGAAATCTCGTTGCGAAATCCAATCAGAACAGCAAGTGTCCTAGGTTCAGAGCGTGCGCCCTGTGGTGCATTGGGGTAGCGATTTGCGACATCGCAGAACCGCCACGCCGTTTGGTTGATCGCCCAAGTAGGAAAGCAACACTGAGGTGGACTGGCAGTCGTGCTGTTCAAGTGCTCATGGTGACTATCTTCAACTCGCTCTCCTTCAAAAGCATACACAAGGAACACTGGCCTGAAGATGCAGAGGTATCCAGCCTCATCCACGCTTCCAGTTGGCATCGATATGCTTCGAGTGTCTAAAACAGACAAGCGCTGCTGGCTCAGGACCTGGTCCAAGGGCTGATTTTGGCCTCGCTCACCAATCTCGGGCGCGAAATCAAGCTCAAGTTCGACCTTCCCATCTACGCTGGTATGCGGAAAATTTGGAATTGTGGATAGTCGTGGATGGGGTGGCAAGTACGGTGCGACGCCCAGCCAGCTCGCCCTACCTCCTGGCCGCTTGAGAATCGCGCGCATTAGCGCGACCGTCGCACCAAGGCGGTCATCCGGCTCGAAAGCGCGCGGGTCAAGAGTCACCCCAAAGAGACCCATGATGCTGAAAATCATGTCCACCGGACGAGATGATGTCCGGAACAACATACTCCGCCAGATGGCGGGTGCGCGTTGGTTGAAGGTAGGCCCGTCCCCATGCGGGAGAGCGTTCTGGAACATAGATATGACAATTTCAGTCCTATGCTCGGGCCAGTAGGGAGGAGTGGATCCAGTTGGGAGGCCAAAGATAGTTGTGCGGAATGGGATAGGATCTTTGCTACCGATGAAGGTTACCTCTGGGAAGATATTGAGTCCCAGCAGCGCGCGAAGGGGAGTTATAGCCGACTCGCCAGGGATAAGCTCATGAATATCGCCTCGATACAGCCCTACGTACATCCCACGTCCAAGAGTCCATCTATATACTACTTCGACGCAGGGTGGGGCAAGAGCTTCTTGTAGTGTCCACGCGCGGTGGATCCACGCGGTCGGCTCATCGAGGCAGACGAGACGCTGGATGCCACCAGGGAAGATGAAACATACTGCGCAGCCTTCATATATCCGAAACATATGTTGAAGTTGCCAGTTCTTGTCATTTTTTTCTGTCTGCATAATACACAGGCGATCCAGCCAAATGTACCTAACGTTGTGCCGGAGTGCTGCCGTGCATGCGTGTCTGAGGACTTCTACGCCAACAGGATCGCCATCCTCGGCTCCAGCGATGGAAAACCTTGCGCCAACCAGACTTTCATCGACACTATTTCCTCGCCAGATGTATGAAATAGCAGCGTAAGCAGTTTCTGGGACTGGGAACTCGTAGAACTCATGAACAGTCAAAGAATGATGATAAAGAAACTGATCACAATCTATAAGTCGGAACCGCCCAGGTGTTGCCGAGGAAGCGATACTCAAGATAGGTAGTGCGCGGCGCTGAGTGAGAGGCTTGAGAGAGTTTAGACAAACAGAAAGAATAATTGTGGATCCTCTAGTTTCATGGTCAACTAGAGGCTCCATAGCGGTTATGAATAGCAAGAATCGCACTACGCAAGCACTTTAACGATAGGAATAGAGAGATTTCTGAAGAGCTGCCATGTGCGGGGTACGGTAATCAGGTTTTATGACAAACATGTGACCTTGGGATTTATTAGGCATCTCTTGAACGCAGCTGGCTGGCCACCGTACCAAACCTGATTTGACGCTCTGCACAGCCACCACATGTCGCAACAACGCAGCTCTACACAAACCTCTTGTAAAGATAGAGCCGTAATCAAAATTTCTGTCATAACAATGCGAAATGATATCTCTTGCACCTTCTACATGGAATGCTATGATACAGAAGGAGGCATTGTGTTGTTCTTTCCATCCTCGCTGGATATAGGAGATTGTGGCACAACATGACTCCGGAGGTTTCGTGAACTCCTGGTTGTAAATTACTTGTCCATTTATAGGTCTTTGAAAATCAGGGAATTGGAAAAGATCGGGCTTTGGATCGTGTCCAGAAGCAGTATTCAATTTACTGAGCTCATCAACTGACTTGTGCAATCTCTAGATTAGACGTGGCAGTCCTGGAATAGACTCGAGCTTGTTGCGGTGAAATCTTTGAATACATACATGTCTTATGTTAGCTCGATGCTGCCTCACTGGATGAAGATTTCGTGGGGTGTAAGATTAGTTTGTTGCAGCCAGTCGCTGAGTATTTCTACGTCATTCAAGTGGTATATATTCATGAAGTAGAAAATATATATCAAGCTGAAGGAGAAAGTCAATAGCGGGGTATAGGAGGGGCTCGATCGCTGAATTGGGTTTCGTAACCTATCAAGGCAACAGGTGGGGACTGCTGATGCGCGGACGCCCAACCAACACAACCCCGCCGATTTCAATCCTTTGCCTATCCACTGCATTCGTTAGGCGTTATAGATCTCGAGGCCGATCAACCCAGTCAAGACCCCTAAAGACGAGGCATTATGTCACATTGTAACGCAAACTATCTTCATTCTCGACTTTTCGCGGATCCAGAATGGTTAGGATACCCGCACGACGGTTATGATCCGGTCTCGCTGCGCCAATATCTGGAAGTCCGACCGAGGAATCAGTCTTCAATGAACATTCTGGCAGCAAGCTATCAGAGTATGCTCACATTCGGCTTGTTAGAGGCAGTGATCGAAGCACCAATAGCAGAAGATATGCTGGTTCACAAGGATCACAGCGGCAAGCTGGTTATGACTACACGTCATCTGGTCGACATTATGCGCAACTGGCTTTCTCGGATCGAACAGACCCCGACACAGCTTTTGGAGCCGTGGTTCAAACGAGCTCGTGAGAATCTGCGCTCAGCCCATTCCCTTGTGGTATCGTTGATAACAATAAATTTCGCGCCATTCGAATTGCTCGGTGATGCAATGCCATCCATGGTGTGTTTCATTGCAATCATCGCCGAGGCATTAGTCAGCGCGCACGCAAGAATGGCATTAGGACTCCGTATGCCTACTGAAGGCTTCTCGTGGTCTATGATCTGGGTACCGCCAATTAGAAAGATATTGCAAGAAGAATTGCATGCAGTTGGATGGTGTTCATACACCACTGAATACCTGATCAGTACTACATCAGTGTCATCTTTGCGATATGTTTGCAATCAGGGTCCGATAGACGATGGCAAGAGCCACTCAGGTTGTACGCCACAGCATTGTGTGGCTTATGATATCGATACTGCGACATACGTCGCGAAGCACCACAGCAGGTGCAAATCCTTAACGAAGACCCCGGAGACACTTTGTGAATTCTTCAGACCGGTACTGGAGCAAGTCCTTAATTGCATTGGAAATGGCCAAATACCCGTCGTCACGCTCAATTCTTCCGGTCTTGAAGTCCACAAATCGACTGACATTCCATATGTCGCGTTATCTCATGTATGGGCAGATGGTCTTGGGAGCACGTCGGAAAACGGACTTCCTCTATGTCAGTTGCAACAGTTGAGCGCACTTGTATCTACATTGCGTCCAAATGCGGCTTTCTGGATAGATAGTATATGCGTTCCGAAGGCGGAGCTTGCTCGTAAGAAAGCCATTGGTATGATGGCACGCACCTACCAAGACGCCGAAGCTGTTTTGGTGTTGGATAGCAGTCTACAGCTCATGAATTCTACTGAGTCGCTTGGTGCGAAACTGCTCGCAGTCTTGACTTCGGGTTGGATGCGACGACTCTGGACACTGCAGGAAGGTGTACTGGCGAAGCAACTCTACATACAGTTTGCCGACACTCACAAAGCGTTAGGTGACCTGATTCCTCCCATTAGCGATATGTTACTACAACCATACCAGACAGATCTAGCCGCGGAGCTGTTTCGACTGATGAAGCAGTCTGGCTACGGCACCTACACGATTGGTGATGTGGCCCGATCATTACGCTGGAGGGACACAACTCGAGCTACAGATGAAACCTTGGCCATTGCGAGTCTTTTGGGTATCCAAGTCCTTCCTTTTCTTGACTTGCCCGGAGAGAAGCGTATGGCACTACTCTTCAAGGAACTCCATACATTTCCTAAGAACATACTCTTTCTTCTTGGATCCAAATTGGACATTCCGGGGTCTCGCTGGATTCCTGTGTCACTTATGGCGGCTCAAAATGGCAGCAAAAGTGGTATAGAAATAGCTTCGCAAGGAGCTGACGCCACCTATACATCCGAAGGCCTCCAGGCAACATACTACGCACTATCTTTCCCAGAAAGGACTATCAAGACGGGTAAACCTTGGATGATACGAGATAAGAAGTCGAATCGGCTGTATCAAGTAGTTGAATTGCCGAGTACAACTGAAACAACCTACCAGTGCAGCATGGTCTTGACCATGACCTCCATACCTCGTGGGAGCGCTAGCCCGTGCGTGACTGCGCTTGGAAGCAAAAGACCTCCAGAGCCTAGTGCAGATGGCTCGTCCACAGTTCCTTGTGAGTACCAGCGGCGGCTGGTGTTAGTTGATATTGCAAAAGATGGTCCGGCGATGAAGGGTGTAGAGAGTGTGGTGGATGCAACTGCATCTGGGATGTTACAGGTATGTATTGGATGAGACTAATAGTAGAGGAAGTTTGGCAATGCGATCGTGTGTAGTCGGATGCATAATCCGTAATAAGCGAATAGCACGAATTAAAAATCGCTAGTCCAAGAGTCTTGAGCCGCCTCAGATTCCCCCTGGTTACCTTTGGGACCTATTGGACGAAGGTATTGGAATGCATACAGGTTGCGCGCCGATAAAGACTTTACTGTAATTTATAAGACTGATTTCATTCTAAGTACTTAAAGCTTCTAGAGGCCGCGTCATTCGTTGTCAACACAGGACTCTCTTCACCGCGGCAACTTTCTCTTTGCAAGGCCTATCCATCGCAACATCCTTTAGAGCAGTTGTCATGTTAATTCTGCCCATTAGAATTGCAGAAGTTGCAGCTTGAGAGTTCTAGAGGCTGTTCTGGTGCTCCGTTTTGCCGACGTGTTTTCGGGCCGTCCTTGGCCAGAGCTTCGACAAGATGACAGCAGCCAATTGTATTAAAGAGATCGACGTCTGACTAACACGTGCGCCTCTCTAAATCCCATGCGGTTCCTTGGTGATGGTCTGAATCGATTTCAATTCCAGTCTACCTGTCTCATCGAAGAACCAGTAGTTTGGATCGATAAGGTCTTCGATACGAATACCTGCGTTGTCCGCGACATATCGATCTGCACCTTTCTATATCAGCATATTGAACCGGCCTGGTTCAGATCCACGACCAATTTTCCCGTTGGCAGATACCATTCCGTCGATGGCCTTCCGTAGCGGTGTTGTTCCTGTTTCAACTTTGGCCTCCAGGTTGGCGCCGTAGTCGAGCAAAAGCGTTGCCATGGCCAATATCTGGGGCCCCGTGAGTGTTTTGATAACATTGATGGCCATTACTAAGTGCAGTGCGGTTTCTCCTGCCGCTGTAGCAGCATTGACATTGTACATTAAACCCTTGGGAATCTTTGATTTTTCTTACTCTATATTGCCTAGGTAGTGAACTTTGCCTGATTTTCCTTTGCAAACCCTTGAGCGATCTTTCTCACCTCATCGCCAAGTTCCTCAAAGATATCGAATCCCCACCGCGACTGCACGTTGAATCGTTTGTGTTTCTCCAATTGGCTGAGTTCTTCGAATGCATCCTTTGGCAATGCCTTTACCTGTCCATTGCTTTTGATACGGCTCGGCGTGACGCTCTTGGGCAGCACCACGGTGCCGCGCTGGATGCCCCAGCTAGCGAGGAGTTGCCCACGGTCCATACCCAATCTGTGACCTAACACACCGACAAGTTCATCATCCATAGTGCGTGGCTCGCCTGTCTGGTTGTTGCCCAAAGGAGAGTATGCTTCAACAAGGATGCCTTTTTCTTTACAGAAGTCGAAGAGAGCGGGTTGTTGGAGGTAGGGGTGTGCCTCAATTTGATTGACAGCCGGGACGACGTTGGTCTTAGACAAGAGATCTTTTAAGCGGTTGATGGTAAAGTTGGAGACGCCGATTGCACGGACTTTGCCAGTACTAAGTAAGTTTTCCATGGCCTTGTAGGTGGTGGCTGGGTCAATGTCTACGAGGTCGAAAACGCCATCGTCACGCAAGGGGAACCACTTGCCCTGCTTGCCGTTGAAGGCACTAAGATGTTTTAAGTATGCGTTGTGAACTTATATCAGGAAGCTATACATACACGGGCCAGTGCATGAGGAACAAGTCAAGGTATTCAACACCAAGATCTCGGAGCGATTGATTGAGCGCTGCCTCGACATCTTCTGGTGCGTGCTTGGTGTTCCACAGCTTTCCGGTTATGAAGATTTGTGAGCGTGGGACGCCACTTCGTCGAATGCCATGGCCTACTTCCACTTCGTTGCGGTAGATGGCTGCGCAGTCGATGTGGCGATAGCCCGCCTTGAGTGCTGTTTCCACTGCTTGCTCAACCTCACCGGGCTTGGCTTGCCATGTGCCAAAGCCAAGGGCGGGTATTTGTGCACCCGTGTTAAGGGTGAAGTGTGTGGGAAGGGCCATGACTGTTATGGTGGGACGTCAACTTGAGGCTGGTGCAGCCAACACAAGATGGAGCAGTGTGTATAAGTAAGAGAGTGCAACGGCCGGTTCTCTGTACAACACCATGATATATATCTGCATTGTAAGTATTTCCGATGTAGCAGTGAAGCATGGGGCTGGGACGGAGCAGTTGCCCTTTGCCGCAACCCGCAACCTGTAGCTCCGCGGGTGAATTGCTTCCGTCTCCGACGAGCTAGGAACCGACGTTCGCCCCGGAGCGGATATCCTTCTCATTGGCCTGTATTCCTCATCCACCTACATCCACAACCATGCCCTCAGACGGTGCCACTGGGCTATCGCCAGCTTCCACAAATTGTATGCCAGAGCCCCAATGAGAACCTCTGAATCCTCAGGCGCCCATGGAGCTGACCCGGAATAGCACAGACAGGCAGCATAGTACCCCAGAAGCGGACCGCCGACGCAGCTCATGGCAGGCAACGCATGGTCAAAGTCACGCGAGCTTGCGATGTCTGCAAAGCAAGAAAATCAAAGTGTTCAGGTGGACAGCCATGCGAGAGCTGCATGCGCCGCCGAGTACACTGCCAGTACGAGGCTATCTACACAAGAGGGAAGAGGACCGCGCTTCGTGCCCCCGACCCGGCGGCTGCTGGGCGTTCACCTCCCGTCAACATGCAGCAGAGAAGCACTCCTCGACCTCCTCACCGAGCTGAAGTGATTATGGCTGATCCATTCGTTGCCGTTGCTCAGAGCGCCAATGATGTGGACCCGCCGTCGCGGGCTTCCCCGGGCCTCGAGGTAGCTGGGCAGTACTCAGACACCACGTCCGGTCTCTCATTTCTCCACCGCGCCTGGCGTCGCATCTCGAACAAGGAAGGCTCCCAATTTGTCAACGGTCAGCTTGGGCTAGCCGAAGACAGCCAACTGCTTATGAGTGCTGGCGACAAACCTTTTCGAGAAATTGGGCAAATGCAAATGCCATCAGCAGATCGTAGCCACGCCTTGCTAGATTTGTATTTTGATGTATGCATCGCAACCTATCGACTACTTCATCGGCAAACGGTGGAGGCCTGGCTAACGTGCGTTCTTAACAACATTCAATGCAATATTACACTTTCCAACGGTACGTAGGTGCGCAAAGGTCGCAACACAGAGCCTATCTTACTGATTTGTTTCGTCAAGGTATCGGTCATGCAAAAACAGCAGTGGTGCTCTCGGTACTTGCAATTGCAGCTTTCCACGAAGAAAAGGCCAAAAGCGACATCGCATCATCGCCCGAGAACGAGTTGAATGAAGAGCCACAGAGCGAACTCTTCTTTGCCGAGGCTGCGCGTTTGATTGCGAGCGAAACGGGTATTCCACAACTTGAGTCAGCTCAATGTAGGCTTATCCAGGTTTTGTATCTACTCATGTCTTGCCGATTCAATCAAGCGTGGTACGCTTTTGGTCATGCTCTCCAAATCATACCGGCCTTGGGCCTGCATCGAAGAGACGATCGTAAAAGACCCGGATCTACCACTAAGCGCGATTATATTGAACAGCAGTGTAGAAAGAGAACATTTTGGGTGGCGTACATTCTGGACAAGTACCTCGGCGTCATTTTTGGACGTCCCAGGCATTACCACGATGACGATATTGATCAAGATCTCCCAGACGCCATAAATGACGAAGACATGACCAGCGATGGGCCACGGAACTCAAGTTCGGATGACTGCCACCTGGAGTCGTTGATATGGCATGCACGTCTTGCACAGATTGCAGAGCGAATCTCGCGCGAGGTGTATTCCATCAAGCCGGTATGCCAGATTTTGATTTTGCGCCAATATTGCACTGACAGTGCGACATCCAGATACCAAACAATCTCCGCCTCGCTGCTTCCCATCGTCTGGGAGCAGCGCTGCGTGAGTGGAAGTCTTCCCTCCCTCCATTCCTAGGTTCCGTCAACCCGAGTAGCCTGATTCCTACTTTTCGCCGGCAATCCATAGCCTTGAAGCTTTCGTATTGCCATGCGGTCATGTTAGCCCACCGCCCTTTTCTTCTTAAGAACACCCTACGCGATAACGGTTCCATGCAAGATCTTGCAAAAGATAGTCTCCATGAGTGCATCGTAGCTGCGTGCTCAGTGCTAGATGCAGTCGACCGCGTGGCGCGTGAGGGTCGTATGTTTCACGCATTCTGGTGGACACACTACGTCTGCTTTTGCGCATTGCTTGTGGTATATGTGTCTATTATACAGGATACCTACCGAGATTCAATGTCAGTAGGCGATCGCCAGAATATGCTAGATCAAGCTGAAAACTGCCTGCAACACTTGGCGCGGGCCACAGCCTCTAACTCCCCGTCACGGAGATATAGCATTATCCTCCAAGAACTTCGTGCTGAAGCTAAACGAAAGACGGCTGTTCCAACTCAAGAGTATTTACCGCCATCGTCGGCTACAACTGTGGCCGGCAACCCAATAACGTTACCTGTAGAGGCTGTGAATGATCCTGATCCGTCGAATCCAACTCTACAGATGTGGCAGCCTCTTTTTGGTAGTCCAATGGACATGACAACACCAGGTTTAAAAGACTTTTTAGACGATTGGCAGACAACCGACTGGCTTGACCTTGACTCTTCAGCATTTGGCCCTTTTCCTGAGATGGATGGTGGATGCTATATTAGGTGAAATACGGCAGATACTTGATCACCGAAACGATTGTATATGTATTCCTTTGCAATCTACCTCTCTTCTTCACCGCCCAGCCGCTCTAATATCTACAATGTGTATCTAAAAAGTGGCGACTTATCACCCATATCCAGGAGTTGTTCATCGGTGTATCGTGCGCGAATCTCATCCTCACTAAGCTTTGCCTTCCTTGAGTTACCCCACTTGTACGACAATTCAAGCAGGAACGCGACAATGAAACCACTAGCACCAAAGGCGAGTGATAGCCCAAATCCTGTCTGATATTTAGGCTTCTCGCTCTCCAGATACATATAACTACCAATTACGCCGCCAATGTTGCCGATGCAGATATTGAAAGCCACGCCAATAGCTCGTCGAGAAGTTGGAGCTAAGTTGTTCGCCGCCCAAGAGCTTCCTGCAGGTTGTACCGGGTAGATTCCCATGCATGTAAGGATGATTGCAAAGAAAGCAGGGCCGAGGTTGCCACCAAGATTGCCATCGAAAGAGATAATGACTGAGTAGCCAATGAAGATCAAGCATAAGGGGATCGCAACGAATGGCAAGCGCCAGTAGAATCGATCCGAAAGCTTAGCGAAGAAGATGGAGCTCAAGGCTCCAGCCACGTACGGCGGGACCGTCATGAGTTGCGCATTTGTGTTGCTAAATCCCATGCCCTTGGTGATAGTGGGCAACGTAAATTTGGTTCCTGGTGGCAATTTAGTGCATGGAAGATAAGTAAAAGAACGGTTCATACCGTAGGAGCAGGCCGAGATACAAAGCAGAATGTATGCCTGCATATAGAGACGCCAATTGCAGAGGACCATTTTCAAATCAGTCCACTTGAATTCGTCCTTCTCCTCCTCTCCATATTTTCCTCCGTCTTTGATGAATCGTTGGAGCTCAAGGAAGCGGATTTCGTCGGGTTTGAGCCACCTTCCGCTCAATGCAGGAGAGTCGATCAGGATGAAAAAGCAGGAAATGCCGAGGCCAACGGTAGCGATGCCCTCGAGCAGGAAAATCCATCGCCAACTAATCACGAAGCTGGATTAGCATATTCAAACAATCGCAACCCATGGTCGTATACTGTATGGGATGGCAACTATCAACGTATCGGGGAGGGGTCAAGCTAATTTGAAACCACTTACCCTTCGTATCCTCCGATGCCGTCCATCTTGGCGATGGCCGCCGCAAGTAGACCACTAAAGGCCCCAGACAGTGCCGACGCACAATAAAAGTATGAGATTCTTGTAGCAAGGTGTTTCGGCATATACCAGTAGGAGCAGAGGTAAACAGCGCCTGGAAAGAAACCAGCTCTTGGACTGCTTAGCAAAGGATTGCAGTCTACAGTTGCGTATAACTCACTCGAATACACCAAGAAGAATCCTGGTTATCAATAGGCCAGCAAAGTTCTTGACCACACCCATCATCGTCATGATGATGCCCCAGCTAACAATAAGGATACCCAGATAGCATGATGGCCGTCTGAACTTTTTTAACAGCATATTCGACGGAACCTCGAGCAAGATGTAGGGTACGAAGAAGACTGATAGAACAACGTTCCATTCAACGCCATTCAATCCAAGATCGGTGACCATTCCTTCAATTTTAGCATTCTATTCAATGTTAGCGATAGGATTTTGTCAGTCTTTGGTGAGATGTTTACGCCAATATTTGCTCGATCTATATGAGATATGAGGTAGAGGACTGCCAACATGGGCACGAGACGAATGTCGACCTAAGAATTTCAATACAACAAGATCGTTCTCAGTATCGCATTAGCCTACCTTGCGTAGTACTCTCTTCCTCTTTTCCTCTGGATAGTTGATGTAGAAATCAGCATCCTCGGGTGCAAGCCCCAAAACTTGGATGTTGTCGATCTTGACCATCTGAGGCGCTTTTGAAGCCTGGATCGAATCCACCGCATCGTCGACGCAATGAATTTCGTTCTTGTCAATGGTGACCATTGTGCTGCGTACGTAGCAAAGATGTTTGGAAGATATGGAAACGTAGCACAAAAGCTTCACACAGTCGAAACTCGTGCCTTCTACAGAAGCTTTGATACCCCAGGGCATGCCCCAGGGCTTTATACCTTTCTCTTAGCTATGGTAACCCTGCAGGTAAGTGCCCCAGCGTATGGAGAATTGCTTAAACCCAGTCATTTAGTTTTCTGGGGAAAGCCAAGTGCGGGGAAATCTATTCACACCAAACTCCATCTAGACATGTTCAGCTGCGCTAAGGCATTCCGATGGCGTTAAGATGGCTTCCGCACGAATCAGAGGCAAATCCGCCTTTGTCGGATATATGCAAGTGTTTCAGGAACACCATCGTTCCATATCCTGACTTCAGTGCCATACTAATAGCACGTCTTTCACTACAATTCATATCATACTTCATCGACCATTCTTCTACCAACTACTTCGGGGTGAATCTCCACAATCATGGCGCCTGCACATATTACTCTTGCTACTTCTGTGCCTCCAGCATGGCCGCCCGCTACCTTCTTAGATATCCACAAAACTAATTTGCAGCCGGATGAGTCTACGATACAAACTGTGGACGCACTAGTCCGACATCGTGCGCGTCAAAGTCCTAACATCACCATCGTCTCATATCCAAAGTCGGGGACAAATTTTGTTGACTACTCGATGCAACAACTAGACGTTTTTGCCTTTAGGGTAGCCCGTCATTACCAGGCATTCATTCCGACAAGGAAAAGCTCATCAGAAAAGCCTATAACAGTAGCGCTGCTTGGTCCAAGTAACTTTGAGTACTTAGTCACGATGCTGGCTCTAGCCAAGCTTGGCCACACAGTGTTGTTCCTCTCGACCAGGATATCTCAAGCTGCCATCGACTCACTGCTAGCGACAACTGGTGCCAGATATCTATTAGCGGACTCTCGACATGCTTCCACGGCCTCTGAAGCTCAAAAGAGCCTTCCTGACTTGTACATCAGTCAGATAGTCACGTCAGACATCTTCGAGTTTCCCATTGAAGTCCACGCGGATACTCGCTTGGATTATCAACTCGATCATAATATCGAAGCTTCAAATAACATTTTCATCATCCATTCTAGCGGTGAGTAGCATATCAAGGCTTAAATGGCTCTTGTTAATTCGGCTCAGGCTCTACTGGACTGCCAAAGCCCATCTACCAGCCTCAGAAAAGCACAATTGCAAACTACGCCATCAGCATGAACATGAAAGCGTTCATCACCCTACCACTCTACCACAATCACGGCATCTGCAATTTCTTCCGTGCAGTGCATAGCGGGAAATCCATCCACATCTACAATGCCGACCTTCCTCTTACACAGCCACACCTCATAACCATCTTGAAACAGCATGACTTTCAGATTTTTTACGGTGTTCCCTATGCTCTTAAACTTCTCGCAGAAACAAATGAGGGTATCCATCTTTTGAAGCAACTCAAGGTTGTTATGTACGGAGGAAGCGCTTGTCCAGATACCCTGGGCGACTTATTAGTAGAGAATGGAGTAAATCTAGTCGGTCACTATGGAGCGTAGGTTTCCGTCTTGACATGCATTCTTCATACAAGCTAACAAGACACAGAACAGAAGTGGGTCAGCTGATGACATCTTTCCGGTCCCAAGGAGACACAGCATGGAATTATGTTCGCGAAACACCAAAGCTTTCACCTTTTCTTCGATGGGTCACTCGCGGAACCAATCTGTATGAATGCATAGTCTTGCCAGGGTGGCCGGCAAAGGTAGCGTCCAATCTTCCCGATGGTAGCTACGCCACAAAGGATCTCTTTGAACCGCATCCAACTATTGAGAAAGCTTGGAAATATATTGCTCGCCTCGACGACACTATTGCATTGCTGAACGGAGAGAAGTTCAACCCAGTCATGATGGAGGGCACCATTCGATCGCATCGAGCTGTCAAAGAGACCATCATTTTTGGTTTCAACAGACCTTGCCTAGGCATCTTACTTGTACCTGCAATTGAAGGTATGTCCGAGTCTGAAGTCATTGATGAGGTATGGCCTGTTGTCGAAGCAGCAAATCAAACGGCAGAAGCATACGCAAGGATATCCAAGGACATGATTCGGGTCTTGCCATACAATTGCCCATATCCCCGTACAGACAAGGGAAGTGTTATTCGACAAGCATTTTACAAGGAGTTCGCAACCGAAATTGAGAATGCATACGATGCTGCGGCAACAAGCCATGGTGATCTGAAAAATCTCACTGGCTTAGAACTGGAGGACCACCTTCGCTCTATCTTAATCAAGCACACGCCCTCTGCAAAAGATATAGATCGTAAAGCCGACCTTTTCTCTCTAGGAGTCGACTCTCTCCAATCCATCCAGGTGCGAACAGAGATTCTGAAGACTGTCGATATTGGCGGCAACAAACTTGGTCAGAACGTTGTTTTTGACTATCCGACAATTGAATCACTCAGCGCCCACCTTCAACGCCTTCGTACCGGCGAAGGAGAGCAGCGGTCGACAGTAGCTGAGCAAATGGGAGATCTTGTATCCCGATACAGTTCTTTCGAGCCTGTCCAAAAGGGACGTTTCATTACGCTTACTGGTGCCACAGGCTCTCTCGGAGCCCATGTCCTCGTACAATTAGTTAGGCGTCCTGACGTTGACGCAGTTCACTGCTTAGTACGCGCAAAGACCAACGGCGATGCTATGCAACGTGTCCGAAAGTCACTCCTAGACCGAAAAGTCTACCATGCGCTATCACTCTCAGCGCGCAGAAAGATACATACACTAGCAGCAGATCTTTCCGATACTCGCCTCGGCCTAGATGACGCAGCCTACACTGGAATTGCTTCGAATCTCACTGGCGTCATTCATTGTGCCTGGAGCGTCAACTTCAACAAGAATCTTGTTTCTTTTGAAAAAGACTGCATAGCCGGCGTTCGCCATCTCATTGATCTCTGTCTGGCTACATCTTCGCCAGCGCCTGCAACTTTTGACTTTTGCTCGTCGGTCAGCACAGTTGCGCGATGCCCTGATTTGCACACGCCTGAACAAGTGGCGGAATATGATTGGGCTCAGGGTATGGGATATGCACAGAGCAAGTGTGTTGCAGAGCACATTTGCATGGCTACCGCGGAAAAGACAAGTATCAAGGCTCGAGTGCTACGCGTTGGTCAGATCGTGGCTGACACAGTGCATGGAGTATGGAATGCTACCGAGGCCATTCCTCTCATGATGCAATCCGCGCTCACCGTTGGAGCACTTCCCAGGCTACAAGAGTCGCCAAGTTGGACGCCCGTTGACGTGGTTGCGAAAGCAGTAACGGAAATTTCATTCAGCGATGCCGGTTCTGTGGTTGCGAACGTCACAAATGCAAAGACGTTTTCTTGGACTGATCAGCTTCTCCCTGCATTACGCGAGGCCGGCCTTGACTTTGAAGAGGTCGAACCCAAAGAGTGGGTGCGGAGGCTTCGCGCATCGAATCAGGATCCAGTGGCCAACCCATCCATCAAATTGGCTGATTTCTTCGCGTCAAAATATGACAATGACACTTTCAGTCCTACACGGACATATGAAACAGTCGTTGCGCGCTCTTACTCGCCGTCACTAGATGCTGCTCCTGTGCTCAGCACAGATTTTGTCAAGACTTTCGTCAAGCAATTTCAAGCCACAGCATGGAGGGCGCAAACTTCCGATGTCACAGAAAAGAAGAAGTTTGTCGTTTTCACTGGACCTTGCGGAAGCGGTAAATCGACTATAGCGAAAAACCTTGCTGGCCGCTTCAAGGCTTCGTTCATCGAGGGTGATGATCTGCACACAGCAGACGCCGTCACCGCCATGGCCGCAGGTACACCACTCGATGACCAAGTTCGGACACTCTGGCTCGAACGTCTCAAGCAACGGGCTCATTACATTAGCACTACTCTAGGCTATGATCGCATCTTCCTTTCTTGCTCTGCTCTGAAGAAGTCTTACCGCGATCATCTTCGCAGCCTCTCTAACGACGATGTTGATATCACTTTCGTGGATCTGCAAGTAGAGGAGGAGGAACTTGTACGTCGGGTCAAGGAGAGAAAGAATCATTACATGAAGCACAGTATGGTTGAGAATCAGATTGCTATCTGGGAAAGACCGGATGATTCAGAGACAGACGTACTTCCGGTCAATGCTGGGCAGCCTGTCGAAATGGTCATTGAAGAAGTGGCAAACCTTTTGGACGCCCTTCATAATATTGAGCGAACAACTTAATCCATAGATTGGAATAAATAGATTCGGAAGACTGTGTCATGTTGTTCAAAGTATATACTACTCATGTAAGCATGACTTCATTCAGGGATCCAGCCCAACCTTCCTTCCTCCATACTCACCTCCATCTGATCTAGTCTGATTAGATCTGATTAGATTAAATAATCAAAACGACAAACGGATCAGTTAATCTGCATCAACTTGCTCACTTATGCAACGACAATTATGCATGATCTTTGTGTACAAAAGGATAGTGAATCACATGTGTTATCTTCTCTCAATGTCTTTTTCCTGCAATTCATGGTTATTGTCTAGAATGTGTGGTTCTTATCGTGGGCAAAAAAGTTCCAGCAAACGAGTGTGTATTTCATCTATCGAACGACCCTGAAAAGTTACATCCCTTGTATCCACCAACATTCAACTAAACTTGCAACTACATGCTGCTATCAATGGTTCTCAATGTAAAGGCAGTCGGCTAACGCGGTTTGAACATTTCCTCTGGGGCAGTTGATGCAGCCTCCGATGTACTCGCCATCAGCCTCCTGAGGAGGCTCAGAGTGCTCGCGTTTGAACACATGGAGACAAAGGTATCTATAAAGCTTTGGTCCGTTTCCTTCGAATGCAACATCCGTGCTGCAAGTGACAGTCGCATCGATAGTGGTTCTTGCCTCAAGGGCGGAAGAGCTCTCAATAGGATTAGCAATAGTAGCCATTGCAAGACCAAGGAATTTGTAAGGAGAAGGCTCGAGAAGTGTTCAGACAAAGATACAATCTACGGTACACAGAGAGAGGAGCGACAACACCAACTGCAGATACTATTACTAACTTACCAGTCCAAGCACCCCTTAGATTTGAAATTCCTACTTATTTTATGCCTATCACAACCAGCAGTTTTATGTATGTGTTCATCTCTTGTCGTTGATTTGCAACTACCCTTGCACAGGTAGCTATCCCAGGGTAAAGGACTGTCGAAAAAAAAATGCCTTAAATTTGCGAGAGGATGGAGCCTGGTGAACTGGGCATGAGACATGTAGAAAAGATTATCAGGATAAACATCGAGTTTGAAAAGTATAAAGGCAGGTAAACCACATGCTGTAGGGTTTAGTATCTTTCTATAGCTAACTACGCTTCTACTCCTGTCGCTAAATAAGCTCTCTACTTGCATATTCGCTCTTGCCACGCAGGATTATGACAATGCATCTCTCTGGATCCTTGATCGTTTTGGGGGCTAGCATTTAGCTTGCTGCTGCGAACCTTGCTCTATGGACTATTCCCGAACTCTCTGGTGTTATGACTGAAGCTGTTGAAGAACTCATGAATACGACGGATTTTACCACGATCAACACTGCTGAATGGGTTGTGTTCCTCAACCAGCCTGCCGAAGTGCTTGAGGGATGGGACGCTACTAAGAAACATCGAATGTTTTCTCTCCTACATGATGCGCTTATCAGTGGAGGAGGACTTCAGAAACGACTGGTGGACACCACTGGGGCTCAAGTAGATGAACATGTCAAGAGTTTGGAGGCCAGCTATTTGACTCAGGTGGTGAGGGATGAAGAGGATGAGACAGAGAAGAAAGGATGCATCCAAAAAACTATGTGCGTGTTGTGCGTCACTGCAGCAGCTACTGTAGCAACAGGTCTAATTGTTACATGCGCGTCGACAGTGTTTACTTCGATCCATGGAGTTACACCTGCAGCGGGACCTGCAGCGGCGGTTTTCTATACACCGATTGTTCTACAATTTATTGCATGCGCGTCCAAACCGACAGCTGCTGCTCTGGGTGCGTCAGCTGGGTGCGTTAGTAAGTTTGGATAGGAAGGGTAGATAATCTGGGAGAGCGTGAGGGGGTGGCGGGTGAGCGTATTGGGTGAGCGTATCGGGTGAGTTTTAGGATTGAACACTGCCACAGAGTTTGCTGCACTACGTACTATGCCTCATTGTCAATATTTACGTAGCTGCACTCTGTATCATTATCTCTATAGTGGTAATGTCATCCCGTAGCTGGCGGCTATCTTCTTAACATTTCTGTGTCCTACCATAGCTATTGTAAAGTGTACTTAATCTATAACCTAGGCTTATGGCTCTGTCAAGATATTCAGTAAGGTGTTTAGTGAGGATCTTATTGCATATAAGTACGCTGCATGCAGTTTCGATCACAGCCTGATCAATCGCCCCATAATAACCTCATAACACATTCGCTACAATAGCATGGATTATTCTAGCCAGAAGATGCAACGATGATGTCTATTCTTACTGTATGAAATCCGATAACACTCAACCTGGGTCTGCGCCCACCTTGGCAGCGTATGTCTTGATGTCTGTCATCAGTACACAATTTGTTAGATACTGGCCCGGTACCGACAATCGTATCATACGCTAGGCATCGGAGTCAAAAATTAGTTGACAAGGACAACCGCACGCGCGTGAGCGAGTGATAGTTTAATACTTCATGTATGCAAAGTTGTCTAACGGGCTATAACCTCGGACATGTTTCCGCAGAGGCAGATGGCCCAAATCGCACTGGAACATACGATCAAAAACCCGAATATCATGCTGTCGGGTGTTTTCCGACAGCATGATAAGTCTGTATACATACTATGTAGAAGCAAGACATTGGTGATGATCGTTTTAACAAGTTATATCAGGGTCTTTGTCTGTTCTTTCTTTCTTAGTTGGAATTTACAAGGGTGCTAGGATATATTAGGTATCAAGCGATACTTCATATGCCCAGCCGGCAATGAATGCAGATTCGCAGTTACACTAGTGGCGCAATACATAATCCAAAACGCAGCAACAAAAGAATATTTAAATGAGATAGTGTTGGTGACAGTGGTAGCCTCTGGGCTAAGTACAGGTCCTCCGCCAAGGCACTACGTATGCCCTATCAGAGAAGGTCATACCAGTGGTACTAAGAATCGAAGAGCAAGATTTCAGCTTATCTCATTCCGCCGCATGACTTGTATGATTGGCATCAAGCCTCATAACTCGAGTAATTTGGGAGATTAGAAGTGCACCCCAAGAAAAAAACCCGGATACCATGGCTGCACACTGCAACCCTCACGGGGATGATCCAATATACATCGCGCGAGCTGAGAGACACATCATCTGCATATACAATCTGCAAAGACTATTTATAAAGTTGTCCTCAATGTGGTGTAACAGTGTTTTTGTGAAGAGAAGACTGATGGCTTTACCCCATGTTTACCTCAGTAACCACCACTTCTGTAATAGTCACCCGATCTATCAAGGACATCAGGGCCCATGAGGGGCTTTAAGAAGTGCCATCGGATCGGAACAACCTGTAGTTTTTACTGTCGTCCCAGTCCATTCTTCGTGCAAGTCTCCCTTCTGCCGCCCCTGCAGAATTATTACGTACTGCGCCATGATCCTGAAGTAATGAGTTAAGTTCACGCATCGCTTTCTTGCTCTCCAAGACAGCTTGCACAGCAGCTACGCTATCCTGTGGGAAAATATCAGCTAGCCAATTGCATGTGTCTAAGAGAAAACGGCCCAATTTGATACTGTCCAGAAATGACTAGGAAGATGGCGGCAGGTATCTCAACATTGCCTGTGTTATCAAGATCAGTCAGACCAGAAGCTCATTCATGCGCACACGCAGAACATATTCTTACCTGCATACACTCCCCACTACTCAGTCGCGCTCCTCTCTGCCGATGAATCCATCAATATATGATAGCAAGGAGCCTTCAGCGTTACTCCAGCCACCTAAGATTTGGTAAGGCGAGATATTATCTTCCTACCCGTAGTCGGTACCATGTGGTAGTTTTGATGGTTCCATGTTCGCGCTTCCTGCTAGCAAAGGTCGCGATTTTCAGTAGACGATTTCTGGATCACATCCCTCCCGCATTCGAAGCAGCATAGCCTGTATCTCCCGAATATAATCGGTGAGTAGTTTGGTAGAGTGGAGGAATTCCAAGACTGACAGCTGCTGTATGCGATCGAAAAACGGCATAGTGTCATGGAGAAATCGAGCATCAATCCACTCGATTGCCGCAAAGATGCCGAAGAACCATGATTCTTCGGCAAGCCCCGTAAAATCAACGTCCTTGGAAAGGGTTTCTAGTCGCATAGTAGTGTTTGCATCTCTGAGAAGCCAATTGTACAGACAATACGCCGCGAATGTTGCAGTAGGCACCATGCCAGAGGCTTTGCATACTGCCAGGTATGGCTTGGAGAGTCCGTAAGGGACCTTCTAAGGCTGTGCGAGACTTGTACTGAGACCGTGGGGGGATGGAAAGTTTCTTCTCCTGACATTATACAACTGGATTGTTGGGAAGGCCCTTTGAGAATTCCTAGTGGGCAAGTTGATGCGCCGTAACAATGCAGAATCGAAGAAGGTGAAGAAGACAGCCAGGGTGACCCGAGTGAGCCTGACATTCCGGAGCCTGACATGGAGCTTGCCCTCGTGCCGCCAACAGCCGAACCCATGCAACTTTCCCCCCGTTGCTCTGGTCCCTGTTCTTAGGATGAACACCTCAAGTCAGTCATCAATCTTCCAGAAGATGCACACCTCGATAGCCCCCGACCGAGCGTCTACACCCGACAATGGCTGTCGCCTTCAAATTGCCAGTACTAGCAACGACATTAGAAACTCCTGTCTTTTCCAATGACCCTAATTAAAGCTGCTGTATTAAGGGCTATCACGGCATCCTGTGCTTCATTCTTCAAGTTCGTTGATGAGATACGAGCGTTCGGACAACTTATCCTCATTGCATCATCTGCCGAGAGGCGTCGCGCACCAGCGGTAGTGTCGGAGGCTCAGCCACACACCACTGCGCCACTGTAGCCCAATAATGGAAGGTAGAGTAACCCCTTGTCGCGTACATTCTTACATCGCTGTAGAGTTGACAGCCAATAAGTTGTCTGGCGCGGTACTTGTAGTATACCAACGCTTTTCCACACGAGCCGCCCAGATCCGCGCCTTCATCATCATATACAAATCAGTACTCTTGGCCAATTGTTTGACACTGCTTATCCCGAGGTATACAGTTGTCACTCGGTTGAATGCTGGGTGCAAACAAAGAGTGCAACGCGTGATAACACCGCAATTTTGGTAACTCACCTGATGAATAACCGATCTTGTTTTTTGTTTTCAGATATGGAAGGTCCAAGAGCGGGAATACGGAGGGGACTGATATCCCACCAAACACATTCTAAAGCTCGGCTTGTGTTTATGCATAAGCGGCGGTGTGGGAGGCTGGCCAGAAAATGTTCATTTGCGGAGGAGGCGTGGCGGGCTCTCCAAACCAAGTACGAGCCTCGTAGCGGCTCGTGCAGCCCTTCAGGCTATACTCTATTCAGTAGTAATATAGAGTCAGTATAAATTAAAAAGTAAGCTCTAGCCTTTTAGAACATTACTAATTTAAGCGTTGATTATAGAAGCAGAATAGACGTGGGAGAGATAGAAGGGAACTCCATGTGTTGATGTTGATATAAATTCAACTCGTTTACTTGCTACCCCTACCCTATGTTAGGGCAATACTACCCATTTTTACAAAGGAGCTCTAGTACTAACCCTAATGGCCGAATGGGACGCACCCACCAACAACCACATCATGTGCACCGTGGAAACTCCTGCGCACAGGCTCCTTTATCCGTGTATTTTTGACTTCTATTAGAACCTTTGATTATGATAGAAGAATAGGATAATCTTACAACCCCAGAAGCGGGCTCGTTTCCTGGGCAGACTTTGCCTCTCCATTGTGGACGCGATAGGCAACTAGCACCATACCTCACAAGAGGTTGGATAACTATATGCTAAAGGAGTAAGGATACTCAAGAGAGTAATCGCCGAGATTGGCACGAGCATGGTAGATCGAATTAGTGGATAGTTTGGGAAGGGAAGAACTTATGTAAAGACGATGGCTCAAAGGGCTAATTGTAGATCAAAAGGGCTCCGGTAACGTAGTTCGGGTAATAAAAGTGTTAGATCCCCACTCTTAGTTACGAGAGAGGCAGCCCATCTATATGCAATACGGGCAAAGATTATTCGCCACCCTCGTAAGAAGTATACGTCACCATCACAAGCAGGAGTATGTAAGTATCACTGCGATACTCTTTCTACCCCAATGAGTATAATTCGTATCTTTATACTCTATACTATCTAGTGCTGTAACTTACTCCTCTTTCTTTTCTCTCTATCCTTTCTTCTTCCTTCTCCATTACTTCTATTATTTTTCAAGAATAAAAGGAATTATAGAAAGAGAGGTATTAGGTAAGAAGAAGCAAGTGAGGACAAGAGACCGAGAATAAGAGAGGAAGAAAGGAAGAAGAAGAGAGGAAGAAGATATGAAGAAGAAGAGAGGCGTGTTTTCTCTCTTTTCCGTTTATTTTACAAGTGTAAGATGCGATAGATTCAATTAGATTAGAAACAAAGCAGGGGTTCCCTGCTTATGGGGTGGTCAATAAACTTTCCCCAGTAAGCACTGTCAGGGAATGCTTCCCGGGCGCTCCACCAATGAGAGCATCAAGCACTCATTCTGTGCCTGGAACAGTGGCTGCCGACAGCCCACCGCCTCTTGGCAACTCGAGCAAGCGCAGGCATAGCAAGGGGCGGTGTTTCTCTGCTCGACCAGACCGGCAAGACATCATGCGTCCAATATGTCAACGGTAAACACGGACGTACGGCGATATTACAACGGCGCTTCTCTAACACTGGGCTTTGAGTTGCCTCGCTTTATAAAAGGACATGGCTGGCCCGATCATGTCCTACACAGCACCGGTCATTCCACGCCTTTCAACAGCCAGCCTGATTTTTCCCACTCTAATTCCAGTAATCTGAAATCAACATGCGCGTCGCTCTTCTCGCTGCCATCGTTCCCGTGGCCCTCGCTGGCTGGAACCCCAAAGCATGCAATGGAGCTGGAGGCTGCACCCAAGTTGGCTACGCCAGCTCGGGCCCTTTCGTCTGCCCCGATGGCAGCAGATTAAACCTTCCTTCGTTCGCGGGCGATAACTTGGACGCCGGCAATGGAAACGCCGACCCCGTGGCGAAAGCGGACTTCCCCAAGTCTTGCACCAGCGGCGCTGTCCCTCCCGCCGACGCTACCTTCATTGTAAGTAACGTCATATCCCATCGCCTTCCCGAAATGGTAGTCGACACACGAAAATACCTATACTAAACCCCATCAGAAAACCAAGTCGAGGAATAACCAGACCATGTTCTTTTTTGTCACGGGCAAGTGCGATACTCCTAACCCGGAGGCTTTCAACTGCTACAGCAAGAACCCCAACCCATCTGTGTAAGTCATTAATCCAACTTCCCCGAAGATGGCTGGCGTGCTAACCATCACAAAGCCACACATTCTGCGCCATGTATGATACCAAGGGCGCGTTGTGCAAGGAGAACAACGCGGCCGGATACTGTGAGCGTTGGGGATACTCGACTGTCAACCCCCAGTGCGCATACTGGAAGCCCGGTCTACCTGACCTCCCCAACAACCAGTAAATATGTCTCTAATGTAGCTTCTTGTATATATTAACTGTATTGGCTTGGGACAAAGTCATGACGATACTATCGCCTTTGGCATGGCAAGACAATGAAATATGACTTAAATTCTTTTTTGCTATGTGTCATACAGTATTCGTGTTGGAATATGACTGCAACTATTTTGCTGAGCGTCGAGAAAGCGTTGGTCAAAAGAGGTTGAAATATTCAACACTTCAAGTAGACCCAGAGGTCCAATCCAGGCATGACTTTCTTACCAATCGAAGAGGTGAGGATGTAGCTCCCATCCTTGCCAAGACATTGCGATATTGCTCCTCGTTGCGAGCGTGAACGATGAATAAACACGTTAATGATAGGCGTGCTTTGCCAATACATGATGAAAGCGATTTCCTTATTGCAAATGGCTGCGCCTGTGACATGCCATGCGGGAATGTCCCCTCTATTAAATCTATCCAGCCTCTACTTGTTTCCATCCTTTGGTAGACGAATTATCTTTGACCAGCCGCTAATAGTAATACAATATGCAGAGAACGAAGTGTCTTTTGAAAAGGAAAAATCAGATACGCAAAAGGTTTTAAATCGGAGGCTTGGCTTCGCCTGGCGCATAATCTTGCGCAATCTTAACAGCGCCAGGGCTAGGCTTGGGGTATGTTGTCCGCCTCTTTGCGCGCACGTAAAAGTTCATCGGACGAATCAGCTGGAACTCTGGGTCGTATGTGACAGCATCGTCGCCCTCCTTGAAGAACTCGTACCGGTATACAAGTTCTGGCAGAATTACCTTGACTTCTCCGAGTGCAAAGTTGAAGCCAATGCAGCTTCTGGGACCAGTTGCGAAAGGCATGTATGAGTTCTTTGGTCGGTTGGCTACTTCCTCACTACCCCAGCGGTCTGGATCAAAGCGGTCTGGATTTGACCAGATATTGGGGTTGTTGTGAATGGCGTGCAGGGCACAGATGACTACGGACCCGGCAGCAAGCTTGTAGCCACCTGGCACAATACAATCGACCTTGACCGTTCGCCCTGGTTGGAAGGATGGGTTGTGCAGGCGCTGGGTCTCTTTGACGAACTTATCAAGGAAGGTGAGGCCGTCGGAGAGTTCTGGCGTCCATTTGGTGTTTTCGTTGACACCAGCATCGACGAGCTCCTGCAGCATTCGTTCTTGATTTCCTGGGTACACGCACAGCGCATAGAGGAGCCATGAGAGCAGCGAAGAGGTCGTCGTGAAGCCAGCACCTGCTATCGGTAGCATGTTCGGAATGACAAGGTCACGTGGTAGCTTGTTGCCTTGGTCATCGGTGGCACGCTTGAGGTAGTCTACCACACAGCTTGCTCCAAGGGCGGCCGAGTGCAGAGGCAGATCATCTTCGGTATCGCCTTTGGGCGCATTATCAATAGCCGTGTTCATGATGTTCCACAGCTTGGCGCCGACGTGATGGAGGTACCAGGGGGCTGTGAAGGGTACAACACTCAGCTTAGAATACCAAGCACCTCGCGACATGACCTTCTTGTTGAGGGACAGTGAATATGCGATTAAGATGACCAATTCGTTCAAAGGCGAGTCTGGTGTATCGAAGTGATGGGAATCGTAACCAAGCGCAAATTTGAATACTGTCTGGGACGCCAGCTTCAGCATGTACTGATATGCGTTCCAGGCCTCGCCTTGTTCGTCCAGCTGGTCGAAGACCTTGAAAGAGTCCTTGACAGAAGCTTCCATCAGGGGTGTATAATGTCTGATGGCCTTTGGAGCCATGGAAGGTGGGATGAACTTGTGCGCTTGTCTCCATGCTTCAGTATCAGTGTCGCAAATGAATAGAGCTCTGTTATCCTTGATGCCGGCCAGAGGATGGTCTGGTGTGATGAGCTTGCTGAAAAACTCCGACTCTTGGAAAGCGACTGTTGCAACAGCAGGGTCGTTGGTCAAGTAATTCATTTTTCCCATTGAGTCGTACTTGATGATCGGCCCATATTTTTGGAACAAGCGAGCGTGGTTTCCCTAGGGAGGGTCAGTTGTGCTACGGGCATGGACAACAGCCGACTTACCAGATGATCGGGGAACACCTCATAGTAGCTGCCTACGAAAGGAAGACCTTCGGGACCAGCAGGGTCTCTGATAGCCTGGCCATCGACTGTAATGCCAAGATCTTCTTCGCAGTCCAGGACGGCGTCCAAGTCTGGCAAATCGTTTCCTTGGGCATCTTGCAGGGCAATACCTGAGCAATGGCAGGTTAGCCGATATATAGGTAAAAGATTTTTTTTTTCTTCAAAAATATGTGCTTACCGGTTGCTTGAATGATGTTGTATTGTTCAGCTATGGCGATTTGTAGAGACTCAAAGTCGTGACATTGGTCGATAAGGATGTCTTGGTGGTAGACGTCTTTGTCTTGCCCGACAAGGTAGAAGCCTTTGAGAGTCATGTTGTGCAATGGTCCGGAGTAAGGCAGGTGTGAATCAAGTCTCAAGGCTCGGCCAGAGCAGTAGCAAGGCGACGAAGAATTAATATCGTAATTCCACCCTTCCCCTTTGACGGCGTCAGTGGTAGGACATATCCATATCATCGGCCAAGAAAGTGGCTAGGCCGATAATATGACGCAGGGCCACCCGCCAGCACACGAATTCGTATATTCCAGGGCATGAACCGAGGCATGTTTACAAAAAGCGTAGTGATAATGCAGGTCGTGCGAGCAGTCCGGCCGAACCCTTTTCTTTGCAGGTTCTGTGCATTCTAGGGGTGTCGGAGTGTCGGAGATAAAATGCGTGTGCGCCACGAGGATGCCGATCACTGCGATGCGGGTCTGATTAACGACGGCAATGCCATTGGCTGCGATGACGATGAGCCTCGGCAAGTGGGGATCATCCGTCTCCATTTGCAACGGTCGACGGCGCTTCCGACTTTGCGCTGCCGTCATAGCGTTTGGAAATTTGCATGCCAACACTGCAATTGTGATCTGTGCATGTGCAATGGCCATTGCCGATCCACTCTCCTCGTGCGACGCCATGGCGACGGCGATGGTAAGGCGGGCCGGCGTCGAGAAAAAGCTCTCGTTGTCGCAGCCTCGTCCCTCGCAACCAAGAGCACCCCATCTCATCACTCCAACACATCCGCCAACATGGCCGACGCCGTATACACTCTCGCAGAGGTAGCCAAGCACAACACCAAGAATGACCTCTGGCTCACTCTCTGGAACTACGTCTACGATGTGACCGACTACCAAGAAGAACACCCCGGCGGAAAGGAGTTTCTTCTTGAGAACGCCGGAGCGGATGCGACCACCGCATACGAAGACATTGGCCATTCCACAGACGCAAGGGAAATCCTCGAGAACTATCGAATCGGCCGCCTTGCTGACGATGACTGGACCGACCACGAGGCAAGCAGGATGCCAGTCATCAAGCCAAACAAAGTCTTTGTCGTCAACAGGCTCCCTCCACCCACATCAAGTCTCGCTCAATTACCAACCATGGGGCTTGGACTAGCCTCAATCGTTCTGTCTTACGTCTACGGCCACAAGGTTACACCGTACTTGCGCCATCTTCAAAGTAGCGGCTTCTGGAAGGGTTTTGCAGTCTCTTCCATTGCCAGCATGGCCCTCGTGGGCTATGCCAGCGTTTGGGCCACCAAAAGCTTCGATGTCGCACATATGGATTTCAGGGCATACCCCGCGCATTACAGGGCAAAGTCTACGGCGTCCAAGCCGACCAAAAAGAAGGACATCAATCTTGGTGTCCTTAACGCCCGCATCTACCAGCCATTTCCGCTGATCGAGAAGACGAATGTTTCACACGACACTGTTCGCTTGGTTTTTGGCCTTCCTAGCGAGAACTCTATCCTTGGCCTACCCACTGGCCAGCACGTTGCAATCAGGCATGAAGTTGATGGCAAGCAAATTACCCGATCATATACGCCAACTTCCAGCAATCAAGACCTAGGCCGACTGGAATTGACAATCAAGATATACGAAGACGGCAAATTAACACCATGGCTGAACAAGCTTAACATTGGAGACAAGGTTGAAATTCGAGGCCCCAAGGGCGAAATGAAATATCACAAGAACCTCGTTAAGCAACTTGGAATGATCGCCGGTGGCACTGGTATCACCCCCATGCTCCAAATTATTCGACGCATCTGCGAAGATCCGCGCGATCATACCAAGGTCACCCTACTGTTCGCTAACAAAACCGAAGCCGACATTTTGCTCAAAGACCAGCTGGACCGATTCGCAAGAGAAAACAGCCAATTCAGTGTGCACTACATTCTTAGCAACCCCTCCGCCAGTTGGCAAGGTGCAAAGGGCCGTGTCAGTAAGGAGCTGATTGAACAGCATATGCCTGCACCAGCCGGTGGGGACAGCAAGATCCTTCTGTGTGGTCCAGACCCAATGGTAGACTCCATGTCCAAGCATCTCCAAGAACGTGGCTTCAAAGCACCAGGTAAGATATGACTTCATCTCCAAAATCCTGAACACTCTGCTAACGTAAACTTACAGGCTCCATCTCGAAACCTCAAGATGAGATTTTCATTTTCTAAGCAGACCCGAATTCTTTTAGATTCTTAGTCTTCTATTCTTTCATCGCCATACGCAATGGCCGGGGCATCTAGGGTAAAGAGACAACTTGAAGCGCTTGGAGCTTGGGAATACCATATAGACATGTATTATACATAATAGGGCGTTTGTCTTTCGTAGCATGAGTGCATAATTGCTGGGTACGATGACCATCCTGAAGGTGTTGTACTGGTTCAGAAACTATGTAATAAGATGTCGGGTTTGGTCACTTTTATCTATCATGGCGCGTGTGTACCACGGGGAAGAAAAAATGATATTGATCCACAATTTATCCATTCCAGAGCCCATCTGCAACTGCCGTGTCTTCTGTGCGAGTGGGTTTAAAAAGATTCTGCATAGTATCATCCACTTGTTACTCTACCAAATTCGGTTGTAACAGCACTATTCTCTTTCTTCCTGTTGATAGAAAATATTATATTTTCCAAGAGCGAAATACGCACCTATGGATTGCATCATCTCCATGAATTGCTGTGGGACCAGGCCTAGTGACATCGATTGAGGATGACTTACTTCCAAGCTCTTAACTTTTCTTTTTCTCCTTCGAACTTAATTTGCATCGGCTATGCAGTAACTTTATCCAAGTTCACGATCGAATGTCGGTAAATGAATAGCAAGAAGCAATCGCCGACCGGAATCCGGCATGCCCGAAATGCGGTGCCGCAAACTGGAGGCCCGAGCTTTTCGGTCGCAGTGGACATTCACGAGAGCAAATAATAGCATGCTACCCGTCCCACGACACAGCTCGTCCCGACCTATAATAGCCCCTCCCCTGGGCCCAATTGCTCTCAGAGATACTCACCCGCTCTCCAGTATCGCGTTCCGGTCCTTGTCTCCTCCACCATCACCATGAACACCATCTCCCCGCCCCCGCAAATAAAACGGCTCTCAGGCCCCAAGCGCGTTCTCGGTATCCTCGTCGGCATCACAGGCGGCTTGGGCGCAAACGCCCTGCTAGCATACAGCGTATCCTCCTTCTACACCCGCAACACCAAATTCGTGCCCTTTGACACATCCGCCCCGGACCTCACGACCAAGACGTTCCGCAACCACAATCCCCTTAACAACCCGCCGGCCTGCATAGACCACGCCATCAAGCAAGTCCCCTACGGAAAGTTGCCGGAGAAGTACTGGGTAAAGGGCAGTGGGGGACGCATATCCGTGGACCAGAAGGCGCTGGTGACGGATTTCTGCAGGGGCATCTGGAGTGGAGTCGCATTTCGCGTCCAGAGGCGGTTCCTAGAGAGAAAGTATCGCGCGCTTGAGGGCAGGCAGGATCATCTCTGGGACGTCAAGGATTTGGAGAAGAGTACTTATCCCATCGGAACCAAGATTGTGGATCATTTCGAGGTTGTGGAGCATTCAGATGACAAGGTATTATTATGCGGACTCTTAATTCTGCTCGATCCCGGCGTCAGTAATCGCAGTATGCTAATCAACATGGTGGCTAGGTTATTGTACGATGTGGTGATTCACCGCTGAACCAGAATCAGCGACCCTCGGACGGTCTGTTCTCCATGGAAGTGTCAAAGGACGACGAAGCTCAGATGGCAACTTTCCACCTCAAGTCTGTTTTCGTAGATACATCGCCAGAGGGTAAGGGCACCCAGCCTCAGCCGGCGCCCCTTCAGGCTGCGCATCGCTGGTATACGAAGCTGTGGATGGAGAGCGCAACACGCAAGTTGATCAAGGAAGCGTGAATTACCCGTGACGGAATTCGGGCAGTTTGCACTTTTTTTGCAAGATGCGAGTGATGATTAATTGAAGCGTCATGTGACCAGTGAGATTTTATCTATACAGACGCTTGTCGCCTTGTTGTATATACTTTTGGCATACCCTCGCGCTGATTTGGTTGAAAAACAATAGAAGCAAAGCTTCCACTCAAAATTAACCTGGATAACGCTGTTTGCAAAATTCATACACTGTGATATAAAATCATATTGTCGCAACAACAAGCTCAGTTAGTCTAGTACCAACTAAAGACTGAACAACGTTGGAAAACATGCTACCACGCCTAGCTCCTGAACAACATCAGACCGGCTTCCTCTGCGTCCACTTGCTCTTCCTCTTCACTCTCAACCTCATCATGCTCCCCAAGTCCCAACCGCTGACCGAATAGACTGCTAAATAGCTCATCTCTCTGCCGGTCGCCCCATTCACCCCTGTCTTCTGGCGCCATGAAATTCTGTAGCTTCTCTTGGACAACGTACCGGAGCTTGCGCCCTTTGCTGGCCTTTGTATCGACGACCTTCTTGGTCTTGGCTTCACGGGCTACCTGCCACGGCGCCTGCACAACAAATTCCGCCGTTCCGTTAGCATTGAGGTCGGCAGAGCGCTGCTCGAGAAGCTCCTTCAGCATCAAACCGTAGAAATCCGCATCGTCGTAGATGGCGGGGTCAGGCTGCGCTGCTTTATTGGACGATTGAAGAGGTGCACATGAGCGAGGCATTTGTGTGCGAGTGACGAGATGGGATGATGTAAGCTGTGAGACCAGGACTTCGGTGAGCGTTTGTTGGGCAGAAGCGTTGAGACGAGCCTTGTTGTTGGTTACGGTCGTGGCTTTCGTCTTGTTTGACCATCTCTCAAGAATTGCTTTGCGGTGTGGCAGAGTGCCCTTTTCCGTGTCCTGGATAGAAGACCAGATTTCTGATGACGGAGTCGCTTGGTCGAAATTGGCGCGCTTCCGCTTTTGGCCTGTTCGTGACTCTTCCAATGACAATCGGAGGTTTGTAAGATTGTTTAACAAAGTCAAGGCTGCGGCCTCGGCGGCCTCGACCGGTGCTTCTTGAGCGGCTCCATTTCTGTATGGCTCCGCAGTCATAGAGTTGGTACTAATCAAGGCTTTTTGTAATCGGATACGGGAGTTGAGTAATGTGTCAAATGCCTTGCGCTGTGTCTTGATAGCTTCTCCTTTGGCAACATCGGACTGGGTGCCAGCAGCAATTGTCGATGTAAAAGACTTGCTTGCAGCCATGAGATCGCGTACCGCAGACGCATCGCGCTTCTTGTCTTTGCTGGGCTTTTCTCCATCCGAAGCTTCAGAATCCTCTTCATCGTCGCTGACGCCCTCGGCAGAGCTTCCCATCTCTTCGTCTTCATCACTCATGTCCAGATCCAAACCGCCCTCGGCGTCGCTTCCACCACTTTCATCTTCACTGTCAAGCTCAGCGCTATTGATATCGTCTTCTCTTTCCTCATCACTAGCTTCGCTATCCTCGTCATCGAAACCTCTGGCAAACGGATCGTCGCTATCGCTGTCCTCAAGAGCCTTGCGGTCTACTTTACGCCCAGTATACTCCGGTCCGAGGGGAACCTCAACTGGCTTGCGTAGCTTGCTCTTTCCTACAACTGTATAATGCTCGCGCCCAACTTTCTCGTCTTCGACGTCTGAGATGTCGCTACCAGAACGCTCGTCCTCGCTAGAGCTAGGCGCAGGGTCGAGTAGGGACTCGGGATCGAAATCTGATGTTTTCTTAGCCGTTTTTCCATAGCGCGATCGCAAAGAACCTTTACCTCTGGTCTTTGACTTCTTCATGGTGTCAATGTCGGATTATGGTCTTCTTGGTTGCAGGCGCACGCGAAGAGAAAGTTCCCTCTGGGCCCCACAAAAAAGTCAAAAGATGTCGGCGTTTCATTTTACCGATGCGCGTCACCTCCGCTACCAACTCCGCAACTCGTGTTGCACCTCAAAATGATGTTGAAACCACGGCTTTTTTCGACATTGCGGTGTTTGCAGCATGAGAACCCCCTTGTATGTTGTGGTGAACATGCAGGCGGGCGCAGTGGCTGATGTCTGGCGCAGGGCCTTCCGCGCTCCGGCGCGCCGCCGCAAATGCCTCGGATGCAACGAGGATTGCCACAGAAACGGAGCATCAAAGATGTGAAAAAAGTGATTGCTGTTTCATCGGCAAAGGGTGGTGTTGGAAAGAGCACCATTGCCGGTATGCTGGACTAATGTCTACGCCATAACCGACGACCACACGCTAAAACCAAGTTTCAGTGAACCTGGCATTGAGCTTCGCGCGGCGTGGTTACAGAGCTGGTATATTGGATACTGATATATTTGGCCCATCCATACCGACTTTGCTCAACCTATCTGGCGAACCTCGACTGTCTACCAGTCAGTCACGAGCGCGCCCCAGCACACTGACACGTCCTGACTTTGCCTACCAGACAACCAACTCATACCCCTCTCTAACTATGGCCTCAAGTCCATGTCCATGGGTTACCTCATCCCAGAGTCCTCACCGGTGGCTTGGCGTGGTCTAATGGTCATGAAAGCTATGCAGCAACTGCTACATGAAGTCGAATGGGGTGGTCTGGACATCCTGGTTCTTGACATGCCACCTGGGACTGGAGATGTACAGCTCACCATCACCCAGCAACTGATATTAGACGGCGCTGTTATTGTCTCTACACCTCAAGACCTATCTCTCAAGGATGCCGCAAAAGGTATCGAGCTGTTTCGAAAAGTCGACGTAAAGCTGCTGGGTCTTGTGTGCAACATGGCGGGCTTCAAGTGCCCAGGATGCGGAGATGTACATGAGGTGTTTGGAAGCATGAAGAATATCAGGGACATGTGCAATAAGTATGATTTAAACATGCTTGGCGAGATTCCCTTACATGGCAGTATTGGTGAGAATGCGGATCGGGGTAAGCCGACCGTCGTGTCGGAGCCGGATGGAGAGCGAGCGATGGCTTTTGGCAGTATTGCCCAAGAAGTGGAGGCATTGACTGGTTTGCAAAAATGAGCCACTATCTCAGCTTGATCCAGCATGACGGATCCTGAGCCAATCGTTCAGATTGTCAAAAATCAAATACATGAAAATTCTCTGGCCAGCAGCTACTTCGTTATACCTGGCAATCTCTCCTGGCCCCTTTTTTGGCTCGTTTAGCTAGTCAAATCTATATAAGTTCAACTTACCCTACAGTTCTACCTTCTATAGTCATCAATTATCTTATCTACTTCACAATAACCACTTTACAGGCTCAAATAAACATCTGCCAACATGAATTTCACCACTCTCGTCACTATCTTTCTTACTGCAGCTACTGCTTCTGCTCTCGTGATCGATAGTAACATCGAAGTAGGCCAGCACCTGGATAAGCGTGCGACTTGCATTGAGTGCCCCGTATGTGCTTGATTCCCCAGTAACACAGTATACAGAAGAACACTAACAAACATAGGGTGGTGGAACAGCTTGCTGCAAAGGCGCAGGTTCAGGCGGCTGTGTGCCGACATGTGCCAGCATGTTTTATTAAGTAAAAAAAATCACTTAACCTAGGCTTACATTCTTCTAGGTAGAACGATAATAGGCCTTTAGAAGGGTTATCAAAGAGTCAGGGAGGGGTGGCGCAGTGGGTTTTCCTCCAGAGACTAAATTTCTTTTACTGCAATTCAAAGGAATTCGCAAGATTGGGAGTTTGAATCTCTCTCCCTCTAAAAACCAAAAGTAACTCTGAGATTACGAGGACTGTTTCTAAAAATCTGTATATAAATACAGTTTTCTTTGAGTCTTTACTTATAGCTTTAGCTACATATTACAATTAGCCCTAGAGAGGATTCTCGTACAAGAAGAAACGCGATTTCATTATCTCTAAGAAGCTCCACGCTGACTAGCCTTACTTATACTAACATGTTAGGAATCTCTGTTTTTAGATAGCGCCTAGTCACGTAAAGAACACTAAAATATCTACTGAGAAATAAGCTAGAAAAAATAAGCCGAGAAATGAGATCCGAGATTAGCTCAGAAACAAGCTTAACAGAATATGAGCTAGGATATAATCATAAATGTAGTGGTTTATAAATAGTCTGGATATGCAATACGAGGTAGATATAGTAAGATTTCAGGCGCGTGGAGAGGTTATGTGGCTTTAAGATAGGAGTACCTATGATTTGTTTGCTTACGTTGCTTTTCCCGTTACGAGTGGATGCACACTAGTTCGATTGTTTCATCGTTCGTGAAGAGCTTTACCATTGCTAGCCCTCTCATTCATCCATTCCCGAATAGGTTCCCATTTTCGACAAGTATGTGCTCCTGACCTCCCTAGAGAGAGTGGAAATCCCGGCCATGAATAAAGAGGAGACGGAGTCAGATCGCCGTGGCACATAAGGGCCTGTCGGATGCGGTCCAAACAATGTTCCATATGTTTTACGTTCCACATGGGGTCACCGATTTTCTCTGCTATTTTCCGCTCAGTTTGAGAGTGAGCGTTGTCCTCATTGGAAACATTGTAGAGCACTGGTTGGATCTCGTTACGTATGGCGTTGAGACAATGAAGGGAATGGAAAACGTCGGGCCTGGGAAGGTTGAGCAAATCTGTTAGAGATGATTCTTTCATGGATAAAAGCCAGAGGTGGATTTGTCTTACTCGAAATGGTATTCTCCATCCTTGCGCTGTGGTGTCAAATCGTCCAAGAATGGCGTAGCTTCTTTCTTGCTCATAGTCGGAAATTCACCTAAGCCCAATATTAGAATCAGAAATGCACGGTTATGCATATTTTCGGTTGAGTTTGGTACATGCCGTGTAGCAACTCCTCCCACGCTTGCTCTATTTCTGGACTTGGCGGTCCGAAGTATTCCACTTTTGCGTCGTGTAGACGGATAACTCGACGCTGGGTCGCATCGTAAGTTAAAGCTCCAGTATATGTCTGTTCCTCGTATTGAACGGCCTTGCGTGCGTCTGGGAAGTCTGTTTGCCAGGAACTGGGACCGCGACGAGACCAAATAGTAAGATTTATGACGGTGAATGCCAAAAACAGCAACAAATTAACGGCTGTTAAACAACACCAACGTCGGTAATGGCTTTGTGAAGCAACCCATCTTCCTGTTTGCGACACCTCATCCTCATCATGGAGAAAAGCAGTCGCCTCGTCATTTTCTTTGTCTTGATCTGGCATTGCGATCTCGAGGATCGGGAACGAGTTGTAAGAAATGATTTGATGATTTCAAAAGTTTCAGAGTATCTAGTACCGTGAAGCTTGAAGATCGGCTGACTACCTCCGGAGTCGTTGGGACAGTTGTTAGACCGTGGTGAGCTGGGAAAATAACCGAGCTTGACAACTCCCGCTGCCAATGGACAATGTAAATACACATAACCCGACTGCGGTAGTTTAGTACTACCTTCATCTGCACTTGGGTAAAGCATCCGGTAATGCATCAACGGCATAAATACAGTTTGAACCATTCCTATTTGGCTGATATCCATGCACTAAATGCCGTCATCCTCCCATGGTCTCCTCACGGAATGTGTGGTCGGCGAACAGTGCACTGTGTAAGCGATGGATGAATCAAAAAGATAAGGTTCATGACGCCATTTGTAGACGGCGGCAACCGGGTGACGGCGGAATTTCATGGACAGATCGGCTGACTACACAATAAATTGTGTATGCACTGAGCGAGAACTTCTGCTGCTTTCTTTTTTGATATCTGTAATAGATCGGTTATGGAAAGGCCAATATTATGGAAAGCGGAGTGAGCTTTGCGTAGTATTTAGGTGCCAACCTCCAAGATACGGATCTACGTATACTATACACGAGATTCAAAGCTGACATTTCACGAGAAATCGCTCTAAACGAGTGTAGACGTCCGGAAAACATAAGATCCGCATTTCTCGAGTTACTTCAGGATTCTCATATGAGAGCTACAAACTTTCGGTATTGTTCGGAGCCAGATCGGACCGATAGGTGTGATGCTTACACTGCTTATTGCTGACCGCATCGTTGGTGAGTTTCAGGAAGAGGTACCCATACATCACACTCGGGTGATCATCCCACCGCTCAGTGAATCGACACCATGTTATTACTTGGGAGGACTTCAAGCAGGATTTCGAAAAAGGTTTCTGGACTTGGGCATCTCAACCCAATAACCATCCATAATCTCACGATACTGTGCGGTGTGGAAAGTGTTGCTCTCTGAGCATGTTTTTGAAAGTACGGAACGATACAGTCGCATATGGACCAGACGGAGAATTCAGACATAGGCTCTCAAACCAGTCCAGTGGAGTGAAAGTGTCTTTACAAGTGCCGGTCTAGAACAATTTGCAGTAACTGAAGAAGTGCAGATAATAAAAAGAACATGGGCATTCATCTTCTCTTTGATTGTAGCATGATAGAAATATTCATCAGACACTATTGAAGGAAAGCACGTCTAAGTATAGAGAGAGGATTGCACGTCACGGTGACGATATGGTGTTACTACTCTGCTAGTTCCAGAATTTTATATCTTTCTGATACAACGAGTGTTATCTCCATATCTATTTCACTTCTTTTGGATTATATCCCCGTTGTCTTCCTGTACGACACCTCGTTTATCCTCCCGTACGATGCCTCGTTTATCTTCCCGTACGATACCTCGTTTGTCTTCCTCACGGGGAGCTCGCCTGTCGATATCATCATCGGCAAACTGAAGGCCTCGTTTATCTTCCTCACGGGGAGCTCGCTTGTTGATATCATCATCGGCAAACTGAAGGCCTCGTTTTTCAGATACAGTCGTCAAAGCATCAAAGCGCTCAAGGTCTGAAAAGAGTTTGTTAGTTATTTCCAGATGTTTTCAGTATATAAGAGACTGCAAGTGTATTACCTCCCGCTCTAGGAGTGGGTGCGGCCAGGGCAAGTCCGACTAGGATGGGCGTGACAAGAGCAGAGAAACGCATTGTCAGATAAGATGAATGATATGTAGTAGATGGAGAAGTGTTTGGCCTTTTGATGAGGTCGTTAGCGAGAATCCTCCTCCTTTTTATAGTCTCACCTTGCTGATGCTGTGGGGATGGGAAAACAGACGCAGCTTACCCAACAGTAGGGTTCACATATATCGCAAACATTTAGTCAGCCAAAGTGTCGCAAGTAACTTGCGACATGCATTCTTACATAAGTGCATAACTGGCCGAAAGTTTGTGGGCAGACGGATGTTTGCATATACTTTGTTACATCGGAGTCGCCGATGACGTGAAGTTCGGCATACGTAGTAAGATCGTCCAATGCATCCGGTGGCTTTTTCAAGCTGCACTGCATGACTCTGGATAAGTATATTTCTTGATTGTTGCTTAGAGTTTCTCAGTCCGCTGCACATGAAACCCTCATCACGCTATTGTTGTTTTTAACTGCAGCAGCAGCAGCAGCAGCACTTTTATACATAGATTTGTTCTTTTCGTATCTCAAGATCAGACGCAGTATGCGTGGTATGGGCAGATAAAACGATGCAAAACGGTAGCTGGTAACCGAAGACGACGAGCCAAATAACATGTTGACGAATGAGCACAGAAGCTACAAAGAGTGATGCTAGCAAGGAAATGACCGAAAATCATGCAGCAAATACAAGTCATGGCCATTGCGGTGAATCCGGAGTTTGGACTCACAAAGTGGTGAGAGCTACTTGGTACAAGGACGCTCTGGTGTTGTCCATAGGATTGGTCTAGTTCAGTAAGCACTACTTACATGGGAGCATGTTGGAGATAACCGTCTTAGGTTAGCGCATGGTTCACGTGACCAGGACTAAGATACACCTTGGTACACTACAACCACTACCAGAAGCAGAATAACCAAGATGGAATAGAAACTAGAACGGAGCAGCTAGAATGACCGATCAACGGCGAATGTGTTTTTGAGGGATCTGAGCATTCACGGGGTTGTCGCTTGAAGATGTAACAAAGAATGATAAGAGCTACAGTATACCCCTCTTCAGGTCCTTAGTAGGTTATCAGTAAGTAGTATGTTAAGACCAGGGGACGGGTCCTTTGTACCCGAGGCCACCATGGTCAGTGGAGGGGCACTTACAATCAACTTCAAGTCGGATAGTCTAGTGATAGGCTGAGGTTAGATTGACTAGTATCAAGGCAGGTTTGGTGGAGCTTGTTCCTGACTACGGCACGGGGGTGGATCTGCAGGCCGCGTACGTATAACGATACAAGTCGGGCATTCTACTGGGCGCGATGCAAAGTGCGACAAGTTCATGCAGTCGACGCCATGCGACGTGTAGGCCCATGAATGGTCAACAGGAGACTGAGAGGGTGGTTTGGTTCACTCCAACTGTCAGGTAGCTGTCCGTGTGTCTGCAGCACGGCCATGACTATGACTAGCATGACGACAGATTTGGTCGAGCTGCATGCTCTTCTGTCCACTACGCTGCCATCCATTCACCAACACCGTCGCTCGCTCCACCCTCTGGGCACCACAACATTCACCCACCCGCTCTGCTCTCTGGCCGTCTGACGCCTGTCGCCCGCACCGCGCACTGATCAGTTCCGGCCCCTGAGCCGCATCTGCGCCGCATGGAGAACGCTGGGCCGGAAAGCCTGCCAGCCGGGAGTCCGCAGCCAAAAAAGCTGCCCGCACCTTCAACCCCGACGTCGTCAGTCCGGCGCAAGATGGCTTCCCATGGCCCTTCGCCCGCCTCCAAAGATGGCGCCGCTCCTCGTCGGCCCACCGTCTCCAGCACTACTACTGCCACTACAGCTACTGCTCGCCGGCCGGCAGCCCCAGCTCAAACTACCACGACGCGCACCTCGACGAGCGCTGTCAAGCCCCCCGCAGCCTCCACCACCCGCGCCAGCGCTGTAGGAGGATCCAGCCTCAGCAAGCCCCCTACGCGTCCAGCTCCCGGTACTGCTGCGCGTAGAACAATTTCGTCGTCCAAGACTGCCTCGGACCAAGACCCAGATCTATCATCAGTAACATCGGGAGAGGAAAGCAAGAAGAAGCCACCAGTGCGCAAGCCGGCTGTCGCGTCTACTGCAGCTGCTCGACCATCCCCCGGAAAGCCAACATCCAGGCCTTCGCTCTCGTCTTCGGCTGCGACTGCGACAGCCACCGCAAAGCGACCCTCGACAACGCGCGCTGCTGCAGATGCAGCAACAACCCGCGCCCCCCGTGCTTCCCTCGGTCCCTCCGCTAGGCCACCGAGCACGCGCCCTACTGCCGCTGCTACCACTGCTTCTGCTGCCGCCGCTGCGCGCACGACAGCTACTGGCCCAAAGGCGCTTGCAGGACAGGCCAAGAAGCTATCAGTCCCTGCCTCTGCCCCTCCCCCGCCAGCAGCCTCTGAACCCGAGGACACAGCAGAAGAAACGTACAAACCTCTCCCTGCCATGCCCCCGTATACCGCATGCTAACTCCTCTACGTAGAGAAAGCCTCGTTGCCTCCACCCTTAGCCGCAATGCCGCCTCCGATGCAGAAGTCGAGGTGCGCAAATCTGCCCTTGGACCCGTCAAAGCCGCCCTGGCGAAATTCGGCGAGAGTTCACCCCGACCGGATACCGCGCCGACGGGCTCTGCCGAGATGGATGTGGAGATGAAAAGGCGGAGCGCCCAGATCATGCAGGACTTCTTCAAGGAAACCAGCCTTCGCGACAAGCTGCAGGAACAGTGCGACGACCTCAGCCGTGAGGTGGACAATCTACAACTAGAAAAGACCAAACTACGAAGCCAGCTGGCCGAAGCACAGGCAGCCATCACCGAGAAGGACAGGCTCATTGCAAACGGCTCCAATGCTACATCATCTTCTGAGCAAAGCGCCCACGAGACCCTGGTCCAAGACATGGAGAAGAAGTTTGCCATAGAGACCAAGCAGCTCGAAGAGCAGAGCCAACAGCTTGAGGTGGAGAAGAAGGCAGCCCAGGAGAGGGAGGCCGCCGAAGCTGCCAAGGCACTCGAACTACAGCAGGTGCTAGACGACTTGAATGCTGAGCTCGAGCAGCAGGGCCGCCAATGGGACGACGAAAAGAAGAAACTAGTCGAGCAAGCGATCCAGATCGAAGAGCTTACCCAGGAAGTAGCGACGTTGAAGGATGAACGCGACAAGCTCTCGCAGGAACTTGACATTGCCAAGAAGACGTTGGAAAATCTGGAAACCAAGTTTGCCGAGCTTGAGCAAAGCCAGGCGGATAACCTTCGTTCGCGTGATGCTAAGATCATCGAGCTTACCAAGACCGTCGATGAATACATGGCCCAGGTGACAAGTAGAGAGGAACAGCACAAGGAAGCTTTGCAAGAAGCACAACAATCCCTCGAGTCCAAGGCCTCCGAGCATTTGGCACTCGTCGAGCAACTGCAGACTGAGCTCCAAACCATCCACCAGCAACACACTGATGAATTGCATGCAAAGGAGCAAATAATCGCCACACACGCTGAAACCCAGAAGCAACTCCAGGACGACCTCACCAAGCTACAACAGCGTGCAGATCAGACCTCCGCAGATCTCGAGAGCGAGCGTAACGAATACGCTGAACAGCTGCAAGCCAAGATTGACGAGCTTCAGAAGACTACGGCCGATCAGCTGCGAGCAAAGGAACAAGAGCTATCAGGACATGTCAAGTCTATTGAGGATCTTCAGGAGCAGATTGTGGCGCTTCAACAAGGGTCGACTGACGGTGCTCAGATTGCCGAGAAGCTTAACAAGGAAATCGAGGAGCTGAAAAATGCGCATGATGCCGCTATCAAGATCAAGACGGAAGAAAATGACGAACTTGCCCAGAAGATAGATGCTTTGAATAATAAACTCACCGCCCAGACTGCCGAAATGGAGCAACTCAAAGCGGAGGCTGCTGGCTTGCGAAGTACCATTGATACACTCGAGACGGCTTCGCAGCAGCTGGACTCGCAACATGCTTCCGAGATTGCAAAAGTGCAGACTAACTTGGACGAAGCGAACAAGAAAGCTGATGGTTACAAGTCTGAGCTTGATGCGCTACATGAGAGACACAAACAAGACTTGCGTGTCATTGGCGAAGATTACGAGCGCGAAATCGAATCCCTGAGAGCGGATCTTGAAGGGGATGCAACAAGGCGATTGAACACTTTGCAGGCCGACTTCGATTCCCTTGTCGCTGAGAAGAACGGAAACTCCGAGCAACATGAGAAAGCACTTTCGGAGCGATCTCAAGAAATTGAGGCTCTCAAGCAGGAAATCAATGACCTTCGAGACAGTTCTGCCTCTGCAACCCGCAACTGCGATGACGCTCTCGCGAAGCTCAAGCACACCGAAGACGAACTGGCCGCTTTGAAAGAAGCCCACAGCATCTCGCAGGGATTGGTCGTGGATCTCCAAGCACGCGTTGATACCATGAGCAAGGACCTTGCCACCAGCGGAGATCTGCAGGCCAAACTGGACGCGTTACAAGAAGAGAAAGATGCTACGGCAGATGCTCACGCCAAGTCTCAGTCTATCATTGTTGACCTGCAAGCCCGCCACGACTCCTTGTTGGAAGAGAAGACGCTCGCGGAGGATTCTCATGCTCGTGCCATCGAATCCCTTAAGCAAGACTCTGAAAGCGAGTCAAAGCAGTTGCTTGCAGAGCTGCAATCAAAGTATGACACTCTCATTCAAGAGAAGAAATCAGCGGAAGATGGACATCGCTCTGCCGTTGAAACTCTGAAGCAAGAATCCGAAATTAAGTTGAGGCACTCCCTTGAGGAACTCGAATCCAAGTACAATCTGCTGGTGGAGGAGAAGGGTGCAATGGAAACTGCGCACAAAGATGCTTTGGAGGCCTCTAAATCACAGTCAGAAAGCGCATCTAAGCAACTACTGAACGACCTTCAGGCCAAATACGACTCGCTGCTTGAAGAGAAGAGTACCATGGAAAACACCCACTTGCAGACGCTACGGGCTTTGGAAGCCGATTCAGAGCAATCTACCAAGTCAGCGCTGGCGGAGCTTCAATCCAAGTATGACACACTGGCGCAAGAGAAGGTTGCCGCCGATCTTGAACACAATCGCACTATCGCAACGCTCAAAGAAGAGGCCGATACTACGTCGAAACAGCTCCTTGATGAGCTGCAAGCCAAGTATGATAAGCTCCAGGTAGACTTGAAGACCACTTCGGAGGTTTTGAGTAATCTCCAGACGAGATACGATGTTGTCACCCAAGAGCGAGGTAGCGATGATGAGGCCCAAAAGGCAGAAATCCAGAACCTCCAGAGCCAACGGGATGATCTATCTGCACGGCTTGCGGAACTTGAGAAGTCTCATGCAGAGAGCCTTGCTAAACAGCTGGCAGCCGAGGAAAGTCATGCCAAGGCGCTTGAGGCTCAGCATGTAGAAATCGAGCAGAAATACGCAGCCTTACTAGAGATTATGCAAAACGACACCGAGCGATTGGAACAAGAAAGGGCAGCAGCACTTGCAGGCAAACAAGCTGCGCTTAATGAGCTCGCATCCATGAAGGAGCAGTCTGGTTCGTCGTCAAACGCTGAAATTGCAAGCAAGTACGAAGCTCTACTGGCCGAGAAGACCGCTGCCGACAAAGAACATGAGGATGCTGTTGCCTTACTCAAAGATTCTCTGAAGGCAGATTACGAGCAGGCTCTATCCAAGTTGCAGTCGGAGTGCGATAAGTTGCAGCAAAAGATTGCAGAGACGGACCAAGCGCACAGTGATGCGATGGAGTTGTTGAAAAAGGAATTTAAAGCCGGACACTCGAACGACATGCAGGCTCTGCGGAATCAGCTCGAGGCTGTGCAGAAACAGCATCAAGATCTTAACGAGCAAAAGACGTCAATGGACCAGGCTCACGAGGAGGCCATTGCTGAGTTGATGGCGGGCATGGAGGCTAGCACGTCAGAAGCTCTACGAGAACTCCGCAAGAAATATGATGACCTTTCGTTGGAGTTGGAAGAAGCACATTTCAATCACTCTGCTGCACTTGAAGCCGCCAAAAAGGAAGCAACCCAACAACGAGACATGTACTGGGACTCTCAGCTTCAGGAGAAGCTCAAGGCTGATGCTGCTGCCGAAAGCTCCAACATGTTAGCCCTTGGAGAAAAGATCCGCGCAATCGAACGTGAGCGCGATGAAGCCATCAGGGCTGCTGAGGAAGCCGAAGACCGCATTGAAACCATGAAGGGTGAAGTCGTGCGCAAGCACCTGGCCCGTGTCGAACCACTGGAGAAAGAGAACTTACAACTCCTCGATAAGATTGACCGCCTCGAAGCAATGCTTGCTGCCGGCGACAGGATTGCTCGTGCTGCTGCCAGCTTGGGTGAGCAGCGGGACATGATCACTTTGGCAGAAGAGGAAGAGGAGGAAGACAACGGCAGAGGCGCTATGTCTGGTACTCAGCGCCACACAACCAACGGCACTGGTCCTGCAAGAGATGTTGTCGGTACTGTGAGTTGAACCCAAATCCCCGTACGTGGATTATCTGCTTTCTTGCCGCGCACAGAGTCCAGAGAGCTAATACATTTCTAGCAGTTGGCGGCCATGCAAGAGACGTTAAGCCAGCTCGCTGAACTCAATAATGACGCGATTGCAGAAAGCACCAGGACAGCCCAACTGCTTACTACGGAGCATACCGGCCCAGACGAGCTTCCCCACCCCACCCACTTCCTAATGGACTTGATGGACTAAGGGCCTAGGAGCCGAGACATGATTGCGATCAACTGCACGAGGGATACGACATGGAATGCGTCTCTACACAACTATAAACTACTTGTAATTTTTTTTCACCCTTTTCCGTGGCTCGTATGCCGTTTAGTTTTTTTGTTCTTTTGCCATATGGCTCTTATCATACCCAATACACTTGTGTCACGTTGTTTGACAATTTCTAATTCGTTTGTGTATC